GGGGCGTTGTCACTATTTCACTATTGGAGGGCACTTCAAGACCAACTGTGTTTGGTGTGCTTTTCAGTGAGTGTTGAAAAAGGGCCCCTTCTGGATGTGGACCTGGGTGTCACAATCCCTGGACTGTGGTCAGGTGTTGTAGAATTCTGCCTAGCTTTTCAGCTCTGACGGAAGTCCTGCCTGGCTCTGGGTTTCAGCACAGTGCGCTGACACTGAGTTCAGGGCAGAGTCCTATGTTTATTTTTCTGTTGTACCTGCCAGTGAGCAGGTGGAGTCTGCCTCTGCCATGGGATGAAGGAGCAGCGATGGGGGCAGACTGGAGGCTCCCTGGCTAACCACACAGGTTTGGGAGTGTGTTCAGATTTTGGCTCTGCTTTCTAAGTGCAAAGCCTGGATTTTCCTCTTCTCACCTTCCCAGGTGGGAGAGTCTCCAAGTTGCATGGCCAGGAGTTTGAGGAGGAATGATTAGAACACCTCTTTCCTTCCTGCCTCTTCAATGTGTTGTTCCTTGTTTGTATGCAAAATCCAGATTTGGTACATTTTTATTTAGTTTTCTTCACTCTTCTGAGTTTGTGCCCAAATTTCTGTTCAAATAGGTGTTTTTGTGAGAGTGAAGACTGGAGGGTCTTACTCACTCACCATCCCATACCTTACTCTTAGTATTGGGGTGTTACTCTCTTCCAAGGGCCCTGGTGAATGAGGAGGCTTTTCCAGAAACCCTGCAAAGACTAGAGCTGAGCTCTGTCCCTGGCTGCATCTTGACTGTAAGGGCCATCATGTCCTACTAAAAAGGAGTTGGGTAGCAGTCCAGCTTTCTTCGCCCTCTAATACACACCTCCCTGGGCTCTTATCATCCAAGCTGAGACTGAAGGAGTGAGGCAGGGGTAGTGGCAGTGAGGGTGGGGGGCATTCTGAGCAGCTCAGGTTTTGTCGTGTGGTGTAGTGGCCACCTCGTGAATCTCTGAACTTCCCCTATGAGTGCAAGTGGACCTTGGTGCTAGTGTCCTCTCTTTACAGGGGTCTAGCTGGTTAGGTCTCCCTCTCAGGATGGCATATGTACAGGGCAGACAGCAAAGCCCAGATCTAGCACTGTACACTGACACCTTTGCTTTGAAGAGCAGTTTCAACATGAACCCTTCAGAAGCAACTGGACGGAGCTGCAGATGAATAAGAGCCCAGATTCTGGATCTCAGCACCTACACAAGGTTGCTTAGGAGACGGCGCTGGCCCAGCCTCAGAGTACAGAGATGAAAGAAACCTATTGGCTCCGTGTTCTCCGCCCTGGGGTTGGCTTGGCACATTTAGCAATAGGTAGAGGGAAAATTTCTGTAAACATGTTTTTGTTTTCTCACCCATGTGTGTGTACACTGTTCTTGTCACTTAACTGAGCTGCAAGAGTCTTATGGTACATGTGCAGGTACACACACACACACACACACACACACACACACACACACACACACACTGGAAATGCCTCCCAAGGACAGCAAAGCAAACAGGTACACTTGGTCTGGCTCTGGTGCTCCAGGACTGTAGCTGTTTCTTTAAAGTCCCACCAGTCCTGGTGAGAGACCAAGTCAGTCACCAAGTCTCCAATATTGTTTCTCTCACACTGGACTTAAAACAGTAAAATTTTAAAACAAAACAGAAGCTCCAAACAAACAAATAAGCAACAAAGGCAATACAGAATTAAAAACAAAACACCTTTTTTTTTTAATGTATAAAGTTCAAGCTTTTGCTAAAATGCTTCCTGGCTGGTTTTGTTTTTGTTTTTGAAGTAGAAGCTACTTAAGAGTTTAAAATATTCCATGGAGGAAATTCTCAGACATTGAATTCTCAAGTTGAAAACAGAGGAATCAGTGTCTGTGGATAGAAGCCACATGGGCAAGGCTGGCCAGAAGGAGTGCCTGGCCAGGCTAGAGGCTAGAGGCCACACCAAAGGCTCAAGTAGAGCCTTCAGCCACAATGATGCCATCCATGTCTGTCTCCCCGTTTTCCTAGCCTACATTTCCCTCTACACACACACACACACACACACACACACACACACACACATAGCATTTTTAACCCACCAGGGTCAGGAGGCGGGGGTGGGAATGTGGAAAGTAGAGTTTGGAAGGTGGCTTGGGAACAGTGCTCTCAAAGCAGGCTTGTTTCCAAGGACTTCAGCTTTAGTTATGACACACCCACCCACCCACCCACTTCCCATTTCACACCTATCTTGTTTTCAGCTCTTAGAAGAACTAATGGCCCATTTGGTCATCAGTTTTGGGCCAATTTCTAGGTGTCCCTAGGACCTGAGAGTGAGTTCTGTAATGTAAACATTGTCCACCTGACTTAGAGGCTTTGGCAGCAGAGAGATCCCTGCCAGTCATCTCCCGTTGATCATCCTCGGAGCCTAGCAAAGCAGAACATGAGGACCTTGTGGGGATTCGATAGAATAATCTGCTTGCTCTCATGAAGTATATCAGGAGATCAGTGTAGGCTTAATTTTTATTGTACCTCCCAAGAGAGTTGGACTATGTTAAATGGAAAAAATCGGCCAGAAACCATGTGTTGTTCACAAATAGTATGAGCAGCACAGAATGGATTAGGGGGCCCAGGGCTATTGCTAAGGGCTCAGAGGTTGAAACCCTCAGGGAAGGGGTGGGACCACATGTCAATATATGGGCAGAAATAGAAAGCAGAGATGCTTGTTGTCTTCTTAGTGTCCCTTCCCATGGCTGTGATGAAATACCCCAGTGAAAGCAACTCGAGGGGGAAAGGGCTTAACTCAGTGTGAGATTACAGTCCATCACAACGGAGGGTACAGAGGCAACAGGTTCCAGGGAGCTGATCACATCACTTCTGCTTCCAAAAGCAGAACAGAGAGCAAAGAATGTGTGTTGTCACTCAGCTCCCTCTACTTACACTGTCCACGGGTTTAGTTAGGGAATGGATCCACTCACAGCTGGCAGGACTCCTATCTCAATGCAACAGGTGTGTCCAGAGGCGTCTATCAGGCGATTTGAAGTTGACAATAGTTATAACTTCTGGGAAACATTATCTGCATGTCTGTGGTGGGATGCCAATGTGCCTGAATTTCCTGTGGGGAGCAGTGCTCTTCTTGTGGGTGATAAAGGTGATGGACCAATAGGACAAGCCAGGAGACTTCCCTAAAGAGATTGGACTCCTCCGGCATTGTCTACTGGGATATGAGTTAACTCACCTGTGGCCTTTTAGATTAATTTACCTGTGGTCTCTCCCATACCAGTATATCAATGTACTTTTTTTTTTTTTTTTTTTTTGGTCAATTTAACCCTGGCTGATTTAGAACTCACTCTGTGGACCAGGTTGGCCTTGAATTCCAGAGATCCATCTGCCTCTGTCTCCTGAGTGCTAGGATTAAAGGTGTGCTCCATCACTTCTCACCGGGTAGGTGTGTGAGTGTGTGTGTGTGGTGATTGGAGGACACTTTGTAGAATCATCTCTCTCCACCATAGAGTTTCCCTGTGGTGAACTCAGGTCAGACTCCTTTGTACACTGAGCTGTCTTACTGCCTCAATTCCTTTTTAAGAGTGGAATTGCATCTCTTTGGTGCAGGGGCTGTGGGATGCCCTGTAAGCTTTTCTCTATGCAGAACCTTTTTCCAGGATTGAATATTCCCTTACAAAGGCTGCTTCAGAGAGCTGGAGCTTTGCTGTCAGGACCAACTACAGTAGCCCCATTCTAGAGGCAGTGCCAACCACACCAGTCTTTCCTGTTCTTGCCTTTCTCTTCATTCTGTACATTTCAAAGCGAGATCCAATATTCTCTTCAGTCCTGTCTTATAGCTCATTTGTGTTATAAGGATTCAGCTTTATGAGGAATTTAATTTTGTATCATAGTGTATGGAACATTTCTTTATGTTTTCAAGCACCCATTTATATTTTTCATGTCTCTTAAGCAGCTGGGCCTGGAGAAAGGGAATCACTGTGTGGTCATTTGTTGTGGTTTGAGTGAAAATGGGCCCATAGACCCACAGGGAGCGGCATCAGTGGAGGCGTGGCCTTGTTGAAGGAAGTGTGTCACTGCGGCTGGACTTTGAGCTTTCAGATGCTCAAGCCAGGCCCAGTGTCTCTCTTTCTGCTGCCTGCTGATCCAGATGTAACACTCTTAGCCCCTTCTCCAGCACAATGTCTCCTGCATGCTGCCATGCTTCCTGCCACGAAGATAATGGATTGAACCTCCAAAGCTGTAAGCCAGCCCAATGAAATGTTTGCCCTTGTAAGAGCTGCATAGTCATGGTGTCTCTTCACTGCAATAGAAACCCAGTGTGTCAAGTGAGGTTACCTTGGAGAACTTTGGGGTTGCAGGTTTATAGGTGGGAATAACCTCCTTCTCGTACTTTGTTTTCACTTCTCTTTTGCTTGGAGGTCTAAAGACATAAAGGTTGAATCATCATAGACCAAAACAAAATCACAAACAGAAGGCATAGAGAAGTTAAGAGTCTTGCCTTAGATCATGGAGCTAGAGAATGCTGAAGCCAGACCTCAAACCTAATTCTGTCTATCCAGTCATACACTTAACCACAGGACACTTAGAGCTTACCATATATTAGATGTCATCATACTGGCATCAGATGTGTTAGAAAGGGATTCTAACCACGTGCAGGTGAAGTCCCAAAGCTATTTCTTTATGCTATGATATAGGTGTGAAATGTGTCAAAGGCAGTCGATAATGGGAGAAAGCTATGAACCATGGCTGCAAAGGTAGTTTGCATTTCATTTGGGCAAGGCATTTATTGACTATTCTGGACACAGATCAAAGTGCATACATTTTGGCAACCCTCTCTCTGAGCATTTCAGAAAGGAGCATGTGGCTAACTGTGGGCATCACACGGTGTAATCAGCTGAGAATAGTCAATCAGTGAGTGTGTGCTGATTCTTCATTTAGGCCTGATATCTAAGACTTTAGTTTTTTTTTTAAACAATTGATCATGTGTACAAAAAGAGTGTGTTAAAAAGACACATACACACCAGTGTTACAAAACTTTGTATTAATCATTTCCCTTCACTCTCAATATAACCATATGAAATATAGCCATGATTCTTAATTCTGTAGGAGGAAATGAATAATAAATACATTGTAGCAAGTTTAGACCACAAGGGTGTTGTCACTGGTAACAACATTTGAAAACTGTACACTTGCAAAGAACAGCATCTTCAAACATTAGTATATCTGTATATCAGTAAAGCTTTTACATGTAACAAACATGCTCTTTCCATATATGACAAATTTAAAAAATATGCATTGCTTGGCAACATGAACTAGGCAAAAATATTTCTTTGTCCACTAACTTTATACAGGAAAACAGGACAAAAGGCATGCATGTACAATACAAATGCCTGCACAGGGCATGCAACGAAAGAAAGCCTTTTGAAGGTCAGCTTACGTTAGGCATAAATACGTGAGGGTTATATATTAATAAGGGAGGAAGTCTTCTGTTTGCCATTACTAACATTCCTGCTTTCTTCTTGCTCCTCCCAGAGGGATACACAGTCACCTTTAAGTCAAGATAAAGAAATTAAAAAAAAAAAGGCAATTTGCAAATATCTCTGATGAGTTGTAAAAAAGAAAAACAGAAAAACAAACCCAACATTAGTGTTATCACAGCTCCGCGTACAACTATCCTGCTGCAGGTACTGTTTGTAATAGGTACACCTGAGCACCCTGGGAAGGATGCTTCCCCGACTCAGGCTAGAGTAGAAATGCATCCTAAGGAACTCAAGTTCCTGTCCTCCCTAGCTCAGTCCTCCGACCACCTCTGGGGGACACAGGTCTACAAACCTTGCATCAGCAGAAGCTACAAGAGGCACAGAAGAACAAGAGACCCGGAGAAGACCCCCATTCCCTAAAAGGCAGCCAGCGACACCTCAAAAGAAAATCTGGTTTCCCTCAGTGTCGCCTCAGAAGAATGGGAGGTGGGGCCCAGCCGCAGCTCCCATCCTGGGTAGCAGAGAAAGACCCAGGATATGAGAGCACTTGGTGCAAACAGCAGCCCTTGGCAGGCAGACCCAGCAGCATCTATTTTGCTTGCTGGATTTGTGTGTGTGTGTGTGTGTGTTTTTGTTTGTTTTTTTTTTTTTTTTTTTTTTTTTTGTTTTTTAAGTGAAACTCAAAAGCATGTGTCAGGGAAGGAGAAAAACAAAACAAAACACCATCAGCAGCAGCAATGTTTCGTGTCTTGTACACAGTTCCTGTGTTTCTTCCTACTGTTTTCTGGTACGAAAACGCTATGAGTATAAAGCACCAATAAAACATCACCCATGATATTGTAGACCAGCACTGCACTTCAGACAGTGCAGAGACATGCCGCTTAAACCAGAGTGTGTGTGTGTGGAACCTAAGCAGTGAAAGATTTTACTCTGAGAGTTTCAAACCTTTACTATTTAATATAAAACAGCTGCATGGAGGGGTGTCAATGGGTAAATACAAAAAAAGGCACTGCAGCTTATTCCTATGGGTCTAGCCCTCACAGCCTCAGGCATGAAACCATTTGTTTCTTTGTATAAATAAGATTCCTTTGCTTTAGGATTTTTAAAATTGAGCTGTGTACCTGCAGTCAACACAGGACTCAAAACAAGGTGGGGGAGAGTCTCTTAAAATCATCAGAAAACTTAAAAAAAATTAACATAGCAAACCACAACTAAGTAGATAAGTCTATACAGTCAATGAAAAATAAGCTTTCCTTTTTTTTTGTTTTAAAAAAAAATTATGTTGTTACTAATAACAGACTTTATCATGGTTACCAGCCATAGCAAGATAATAAGTAACATATCCAAAATAATATCTCTAATAATCAGATAACCATTGTTTCTATATTCAGTGAAGGAATAAATAGGAATTCAGATTTGCAAATACTCTATGGTCTTCTTTTTAAAAGACTCACATTCGTGCGATTGTGATCATCACGTGGCTTCTGAATAGCCTATGTCCTTACGGGTATGTGGCAGATCCAAACACCTTTTGCTTCCTAAAAGATGAGGAATCCCATTGTTCCTCTCTGTTTACCTTCTCAGCATCCTCCAAACACATCCTCAGACCCTCTGGCCTTGCCTTTGGCTTTCTACATTTTGACCTATTCTGCCTTACATGTGATCTTCCATCCCAGCTCCTTTCCCAGCATCGAGATTGTTTGGAAAAGGTACGTGAGGGGTAAGTGTTAATGGCACTTGGTTAAAATTTTTATATATATATACACACATATAAACTAAACATGCTGCCTCCTTCTGCACATGAATTTGCATCTTCAAGACCTGCTCACCCAGGAGTGGCCTGACTTTTGTTACTGTTCTTGTGATGTGCTGCATGGCATAGCTCACCCAAACCCTCTGTGCTTGCTAAAAGCTCTATCTGCCTATGGTGCCCTTGGCCTGTTGGACTGTAATAGGACTTCATGTTCTCTCCAAGGCTAGGCTAGGTGTACATTTGTAATCTTGACAGTCAAAGTTGCATGGATTTTATTAAGGCCTTTAAAGTCTGGATGCCCCTCATTAACGTCACCATGAGCAAGGGACAGTCATCTGCATGGTCCGATCCCTTTAATTTTGACTTGGGTATCATTTTATTTTTTAAAAGAGGCATCAGTCTCACCGTTTGATAAACAGGTCTTATATTAGCTCCTAGATTATGCCTCTGGTTAAGCATTTACACCATCCCATTTGCACAACTAATTTTCCAGTGCAATGCACAGTTCCTTTACAATCCCCTCTAATATCCTCCATTGTACCTAATTCTGAAATACTGTCTTTATTGCCCTTAAGAAATAGATCTATGACACTGTGGTGCACAGCTAATCTCTCACTGCATAATGGGTTCATGCGTGTTTTCATCCCACAATACAGCAAATCTCGACTTATGTGCATGGGCAAGCCACCATTGCTTTAACCTTTCCTGATTCTGCTGTCATATCCTGCCTTGGACAGTGGCACCTCTGCCTCTCTGCGCTGATCTCTCGTACTATTGCTGGACCGTTCTTCTTCAGCAGAGGTGTCATAAAAGGGATACAGTTCCCAGGGTTAGGCTCCTGCAAATGTTCTGAGGCGGAGACCTCTAATGAGACTTGTACCCACTTGTGTGTCTGTGGAGTGAGACCAGGGGTGGTAGAATGGAGCCTGTGGGGAGTTTGGGAAGCAAGACAGGCCTTGGGTGGGATGCAAATCCAGCACAGAAAGAGCTTGCAAAGTTTATCATCTCTGGGTGACCTATGAGCAAACCATAACTGATCACATGGCGCCACCATCCTCACCCTTCACATCCATCCACACACTCCTCCCACCTCATGGTGGAAGAAGGCAACTTGAGGCCCACGTGACTGCATCCATCTTCCCGAGAAGCAGAGCTTGGCAGTCGTTTTAAAAGACAACCCTGCTACTATTATAAAAATAGATGAGACAAAATGAATCCATAACAATCAGTCTTTTACAAAAACCATAGTATGAAGAGAAGTTCTACCCAAACTCTACACATTATGTACCCTTTAAAATTCTTATGTAAACAATACACAAATCAAAGTTTATCTGAAAGTCTGCTGGAGGGATTTTGTCCTCTTGCCCTTGTTGCCACATGGCCCTCTCTGGTGACTGTTTCAAGCAGGGCCTCAGGGAAATCCAGTCGAGGAGACACAAACAGGCTGGCCACCATCTTGCTCTAGTTGCTTGTACCCTCCATCTTCTGCAGCCTGACTAGCAAGCTTCCCCAGGACAGGGCTGCCACCTCCCTCCTGTGTGTCTCTTGCATCTCTCCTAGCAGTACTCTTCTCTACCCCATTTCCATCCAGGAAGCCATAAGCATCCTTCCACCCCCACCCAGCCCCACCTTTCCCTAGAGTCCCCTCCCCACCCTGCATACCGTCCCATCCCACGACAGAAACAAATGACAACATAACCAACCCCAGGTCTACTGATATGTTTACAAGGATGACCTACGCTCTCACAAAATCAAAATGGGTGAGGGACCAGGGGAAAAAGGCTGCAAAGGGTCTTGGAAGATTCTATGCAACCCTGAAGATGGCTGACACTGGGCCCGCAGCAGTCGATTTCACGGCCAGCGCGGTCACTCTCATCTTCAGATTCTAGATTGTGGAGGTCCGGTCAACCCCATCTGTGAAAAGGAGCCACAAAGGACTAGATGAGCAAAACCTGTTCTGGTTTAACCCACCACCAGCAAAGCCAACACCTTGGGCATCCTGGTTGAGCACCCTGGGTTCTGAGATGATGTCATCACTCACCCACTCACTCACACACTGACATAACCACACATCTAACATCCTGGAGTGTAGTTTCTTGTTTGTTTTTTAAACAGGAACCATATTGAGCCTGGGAGCCAAGATACAACTGTCCTCACTTCCCAAGTATTCATATTAGAATTTATATTACTGACACATAAATCAACGATGATGCTCAGAGAGTGATGATGGCTCTAACCAGTGTGTTCTGGGAAGGAAGGAACATGGAGGGAGGAATGTATAGTTCAGCCTTGGAAGTCAAGGACACAAAATGACTTGTTGATGGTGCTGCTAGGCATGTGCTAAACAGGAAAGGATGATGGGTAGAGGGTAGGGGACATGAGAGGTGGAATGATGGGTTATCAAATGGAGGGGCTGGCAGTAGGCCCTAGGTGTGGGATGGAGAGGTTGGGAACCCAGTGGCAGGAGCAGGCCCTTAACAGGGAAAGGCTATAATTGAAAAGTAAATGCAAGCCAGGCCATAGTGGTGCCTGCCTTTAATCCCAGCACTTGGGAGGCAGAGGCAGGCAGATCTCTGTGAGTTGAGGCCAGCCTGGTCTATAGAAAGAGTTCCATGAGAGCCAGAGATATAACACAGAGAAACCCTATCTTGAAAACTCAAGGAAAAAAGAAGTAAATGCAATTGTGGAGCTCACACCCATTTCTTTGGAATTATTTCCCTGGTACTGAAAATCTCTGATGAAAGGCTGAAGACAAAGAGACCTGCCCCTGCCCACAGCTGGGCTATGGGGGTGTGTGTGGTGGATATAGGTGACCCAAATTCTCCACAGCAAGAATAGGAGTAAAGGCGGGAAAAGCAAAGGCGGATGCTGTGGGCATCCAGAGTTGGGAGCTTGTGACAGTGGGAGGGTAATTACTCACACCTCCTTGGAGAATCGTCACACTGCAAGGTGTGAGTCTGTGGGAGGGATACTTGCTTCGGAGATTAGAGGCCATCAGTGGGCTAGACAGCAGAGCTGCCTGTTTTCACAAGGGCTCCAGCACAGTCCCCAGCAGCAGAGCCAGTCATCTTGCTTACCAAGAGAAGGACCTTGGAAGGGCACAAGGGGGACTAAAAACAGCAGAACAATGCAATCTCACTTTAGAGTGACTTCTTTGGCAAGTGGTCTGATGAAGTGCGAGGATGGTGGTGGTGGGCAGTGGAGAAGTATCCACGCTGGTGCGTGTGGGAGCTGATGGGTTACATACAGTAGGCAGAGAGAAGCATGGATTGGTCACCACAGAGTAGGAAAGATGGTGTGCAGTGACTACTGGATGAGGGCAGCAGTGGGCTAGCTACAGAGTACTTCTTTAGCTTTGGCAAGCTCTAGAGACCAGCCAATGTGGCTAGTCCAGTCCCCACTATGGCTAGCTAGGGAACATCTCTAGTTACTGTGCAAGACTCAGAGACAAGATAGAAGTACCTAAGCATTCCAGGGGAAGTTAGACCTAAAAGACATGGGAAGGTAGTGAGCTCACTGCAGGGGTCTCCTGACTCCTTGCCGGTAGTGTCATATTGGCAATTCTGTCAGCTCAAACTTGTAGGAGACTTTATTTTTTTTTAATTTTATTGAGATAATTATAGGCCCACATGCATTTGTTTTTTTTTTTTGTTTTGTTTTTTGTTTTGTGTGTGTGTGTGTGTTCACATGCATTTGTAAGAAATTGTCTAGCAAGATCATATTGGTACCTGGTCAGGTCCCATAGTGGTGACAATTTGTAAAGGTGTAATGGGACATTATAGTGAAGTCACTGACTTTTAGATAATCCATTGATCTTATTTAGATGTCCCCAATTTCATTTGTACTCGTGTGTGTGTGCGTGTGTACAGGTAAGAATGGACAAGCATATGTCTGTTAAGTTCTGCCAGTTTAGGGAGAAATTTTAAAGGGACAGTGGCCTCAGCCTGTTTGGGGTGTTGGAGCATCATTTAGCCCACATGTGTTATCTTCTGATCAATAACTGATTTTCTGTGTTGTCAACCTGAGAGCATGCATAGGGTTTAACAGTTGCAGGAGAGCAGGAGTGCATGCCAAGATCACTTTGCTGTGTGGATGTCTGTAGACAACTCTAGAAGTATAGCACACTCTTGCTTGGCTCTCTGGCCCACACATTAATGCTAAGTCTTCATAGTTGTGAAAGTGGGGAGCTGGGAGTGTGAAAATCTCAACTAGCTCAACTCTAAGTCACATTAACATTGCATTGCAATCACTTGATATGTCTTCCAAGGAAAGCCACACGATTTTCAGTTGTGAAAGCTGCACACTGACAATTTCAGGGGACAGCACACCCAAGCAAACACCATAGGTTTTATACTTATCACTGCAATAAATGCCATCCTAGCTCCTTGAGAAAATAATTTGCATAGGATCTCTGCATCTGTGACAGTGGAGCTGGTAAGGCTTAGGGAAGAGGTGAGTTGAGAAGGGGAGAAGGAAAAGGAGGGGGAGTGTGAACTTCAGAACCCCGACTCCGACAGTGGAATTCCCTGTAGATTCTGGAGCCCCTCTGTAAGAGGCTTGGAGACTCATCTTCCCTGAACACCTCGGGACACACACAAAACAGAGAGCCTGATGGCAGACTCACAACCCTTTGCCTGGGTGTCCTTTTGGGTTTTGTTGCAGGGGCCTCAGGGAAAGAAGAGATGAAAAAGGAGGGACAAGAAAAAAAAAAAAAAAAGCTTAGACAAGCACCAGGAGGGCAGCAGTTACCAAGGAAACAGAGGAGCAGAGATATCAGAGGCACCTAAAAGTTGGCACTGTGGACCACAGTGATGGTCATCTGGGATACAGATGGCTTGATGCTATCCTCCTGCCTCCCCGAGTCACGGCACAGGAACTTTTCTCTTCTTCTCTCCTTCTTGCATGTCTCATTTCTGTATGTATCTGCACACATGTACAAGTGCAAGTGTCTGGATATGTGGAGGTCAGAGGTCAGCATCAGGTGTCTTCAGTATTCTCCATCTTATTTTTTTGAGAGAGTATCTCCTGAACCCAGAACTCACTTATTTGACTAGATTGGCTACCTTGAAAACTCCAGGGATCTGCCTGTCTCCACTTAAAGGCACATGCAGAAGCTATCATGTGTAGCTTTTTACATGGAGTCTGGGGACTTGAACTCTTCTCCTAATGCTTGGGTGGGCAAGCACTTTGCCCACTGGGCTATTTCCCCAGCCCCAGAACAACTTTACCTGTGCTTTCCTCTTGCCATTTGTTTTCCTATAAAATGATTTTTTGTTGGCATGATGTCCCCAGCAAGGTTATCTATCTTCCCTGGCACCTGGAAAGGTCTGGCCCACAGAGTCACTGCCATAGCTGAAGGCCACAGTGCTCCTGTACTGGGTTCAAGCCACCCTCAACTTGATTTGCATCCTCTACCCCTGAAACTGCTTAGGAGGAGGTTACCCACAGGAGGGGATTATTGAGAGAAAAACAAAAACCAAAACCACAGCAATAAAAAGGCTTAGGAGATTAGCAAGATGAAAACATTAGTGAAAACCTATCAGTTCCAAGAGGTAGTCTGTGAAAATAGAAAAACCAGCTTAAAAAAAAAAGTCTGTTCAATGAAAACTTCCCTTGAATAAAGAGCAGAGCATTTGGCAATTTCGCTGCTAACGATGATAATAGTAGCACTTAACCGTTTGATAAGAGCTTCCAAAATGCCAGTTATTGGTGGTCCATCAGGCCCCATGGGGGGAGGCCAAGTTTCCTTTCTGACTCTCAAGGCAGTGGCATATTGCACCAGGCTCCATATGCAGCAGTGCACTGAAGGGCAGCAGTGCACTGGGCTGTAGATTTCCTACCAGTGATGCTTTGAGTTCATCCATGCTGTGTTATGGGCACATCTTCCCTGGCAAGGCTGTTATTCATTCCTCTGAATGGCTACACTACAGTTTGTTGATCCTTATTTGGGTGGTCTGCCATTATTTATTGAGGGATGCTGACACAGCAGGAAAGAGGAGCTGGTGGCAACTCCTAGGGGTGCTGTGAGCTTCCAGGGTCAGTGTGACCAGAGATGGAGCAGTGGTTTGCAAACAGGGGTCCCTGGAACAGAAGCCCTGTAGAATCACAACAGTCCCAGGGCCCCTGAGCTCCCTCCTGACATTTAAAGTCCCACTTGGGGGGGTTCCGGCCCTTCACTCTGTTCCATGTAAACCAATTATTTCCTATTTTGTTTTCAGTATAAGATTGTATTTTCACACAATCCTTAGTCTACAGAGATTAAACTTCTAAAAGTCAGGGGTGGAGGGTCCTGAGTACAAAGTTTTCAGGAGCAGTAGCTGATGGCAGCCTTTCTACCCACTGCTGCCAGAGGATGCTCAGCTGGGTCCACAAATGTGCAAAGCCCTAAGCTTGGGCCCAGCGTGTCACTGAGCCCCCAGGACAGGTGTAACAAGGCCGCAGGCCAGACTGATGAGAGTAAGGGGCATTGATTTGGGGAAGCATATTACTGGCTCTAGTTAAATGTGAGTGTATCCAACCTGTGCCTGTCATGTGGCAAAGGGCACCTCAGTTAGCTTGAGCTCTAGCGTCACACAAGCCATTCGCAACAGGGATATTTAAAAACAAGCAGGGATCTTTGTTTCAAAAATTCTATTTTTAGAGCATGTTGGGATATGCTTGGCCTAGACTGATGGATCCAGTGCCGAGGGAACATATCCAATGTTATGGGAGATGCTCCCATTGGAAGCCATGCCTTGTGTGTGTCTGATGCCGCCAGCTCCTGCATTTGGCCAGGAAGACTACTGCTGTGGAGTTCCGGTGTGTGCTGAGGGGAGGAGTTTCCAGGGCTAGGGGGATGGTGTTGGTCTCTTTGGCTTCCATTTCCCTGACTCATCTCCCACAAAAAGAACAGAGCATAGAGACTATGCAGGGAAGGGGCTCCACAGCACCCCAAGTCTGTCCTCTCCCTGTCCCATCAGACCTCATTTCCTTTCCATCTCCCCAGCTGCCCCAGAGGACACACTGACCTCCTAGGGCATGCTCCGTCATACTGAGACACAAGGATTCCAGCCTGTTGTTGATGTCAGGTTCAGTCACAGGAAGCTGGAATTCTGCAAGAAGAAAGAGGTACACTGATTACTAGGACTCCTGGGACAAGGACAAAGTATCCATGATGTCGCCTAGTTCCAGGATAAGTGTCTAATGTGCCTCCCCTAGGAGGACTCAAGGGTACCTTCAGAGCCAGCATGAACAGTGACCACCTCTGAGGTCTATTTGATACAGAACCCATTGTAGACATAGGCAGCTGGAAGCAAATTGATGTCTAAAATAGCTAGTCAAAGTCATAGGCCATCACTCCTGTTTGAACTGTGTGATGGCTTTTCCACAAAAGTAAGAATCAACCCCAGCAATGGTCTGCAAGGCCTCCTTACATTCTTGTCCTCATAGAAGCCCCTCTTCCTCTGTTCCATCCAAGAGCTCTTCTACCCTTAGGCCTTTGTGCTACTGTTCTCTCTGCCTCCGTGTCAGCCCACAAATGTCTTCCTCGCTCACTCTTTCCTGCCTCCGTAGCTCAGGATCTACTGTCTTCTTGAAAACGCCCCTCCCTAACACTCTTTTTCCTCTTTCTTTGTGTCATTAACGCTGAATGTTTCCCATATCTGCCCCGCTACTTTAGGGCTGGTGTCATTGGAGCAGGGCTTAGCAACAGTCATTGAGTCTGAAACCCAGCCTATGAAATTCTGCTTTGTGGTAAGAAGCAGGTACCATACACCCAGTCTAGCACATTCCCTTCTGAGTGAAGGTCTGTGCTGAAGCTTCTGCTGAGCTAGCTCATTTATTGCTCAACACACTCAGTCCCCACTGGGGCTCAAGAAGACTGGTAGCCCATCAAGACTAGGTAGGAAGAATAGAGCTAGGAGAAGAGCCATGCTTTCCTGCTTGCCATGATGACTTCCATGACTGTTCACCACACCAGTCTCTAAGTGCGTTGATTGGAGGAGCTGAGACTTTCACTCCATGGCAAGGAGTCAGCTGCCACACAGCACGGACAATCCATGACCCTCTACGAGTGGGATGTTGTCCATTTTTTTTTTCAGGTACTACTGTTCCCTCTCCCCCATGGAAGGCAGCTCTAGGGGCCTTCTCTTTTAGACTGGGACTCAGTGTGAGCCCCCTTTCCTGCCTCCTGTGGAACCATGGAATACCTTTATGTACCTAGAGGAATGTTCTAGACAGTGACAGTGCTTTGACTGTCTATATCTGACTGTCTGAAACAGCTAGTGTTCTCTTCTACTATCAGCAGCGAAAAACCATGACATGCTATGGATAGGAGCAGAAAAGAAGTCCTGTAGCATATGCTGGCAAATGGGTGTTCCAGGTGTCTGGGATGTCCCAACACTGTCACTACTTTTCTATGTAACCTCGGGAGGCTGGTCCTTTCCTTGGTGATTTACTTGCACTTGACACATGGGGAAAAGGATGGGGTGGGCCAAAGCTTAGGCATTGCTTTCTCTTTCTCTACTCCACTCCAGAGCACGTGGTTTGAGAGGCAGGTGTTGGTAGCCTGGTGAGAAAGCATGCTGAAACCAATGGCTAAACCGAACATTTGTTTTTATCTAACTAGCTGTACATTAACGTCTTTCTCTGGTAGGTGAGGTGGCTCGGCGCTTAAAGGTACCTGCTGCGCAAAGCTGGCATTCTGAGTTTGATCTCTGAAAGGGATCCTCTGACCTCCACACTCATGCTGTACCATGTAAACCCACACACAAACATGCACACATAATTTTTTAAAAAAGAATTTTAAAGCTCTTCTTTTGCAATTTGCATTCCCCTCCATCAACTAATTCAGAGGCAGGTGCCATCTCCATCACTTCAAATTCTCAGAGAAGGCTGGCAAAACTGGTCAATATGAAAAGCACCAAGCAGCAGATAGTGACCTTTCTGTGGCAAGTTGCAGCATCCATGAGGTTTGGAAGACAACTGGGCCAACTCCTGAGTGGATAGAGGCCTGTGTGGCTTCTAGGGAAGGTGGGAGCCAGAAAGGATGGGAGGAGTTGCTCCTGAGCCCACCTAGGAGCTGCTGGTAAGAGCAGGGTTTGGGCAATTAGACCATCCCAGGGGGAAGAGTATTTTCGTATTTCCATCCATTCATGTGAAAATCATATGCACGCAAAAATTAGCAGCCTTTGGGGTGTGAAACCTATAAAATAGAAACAGAATTTTATATATAGCTAGTTAGCAAATACGGAAGGAAAAAAAAACAAACTTCAGCAATTATAGCCATCCATATGCTCACTGGAAGAGTGCGTTTACTCTCTAGCGCTCCCCTTTAAACAAACACTGTGGAGAGATTTGGATAAATAAAGACGCTCGACATTTGGAGAGAAGAGTCTCAGCTGCAGGATTTCTTGCCAACACGCAGCAAAATGCCATTTTCCAAGCCTGGGATTGCGTGCTTCCAGGAAGCAGGCTGAGAAACACAGGGCTCTCAGCTCCAGACTCTCCAAGCAGTCTTCCTGGCTGCTCTTTTAGGGGGGGAAGTTGGTTTGCTTGTGGTTTCTTGTGTCCACTCTTCACTCTGACACTCTGGAGAGCTGTGATCCCCACCCCTCTCAGAGCTGTGCTGAAAAATTTCATGTCTTGGAGAAGCTCATATGTTCATGCTTCAGAGGACCTTAACGGTGTGACTTTTTAATAGTGTGTTTGATAAAAAAACAGACCAATGGCATCTTGCCACACATGTCAGAGAGAATCACTGCTTCTGACTGGCTAGCACTCATCAGTGGTGCCCCTCCCCCACAGCCCTCCTTAAATTTAGCTCCAAGGGGCAATCAGGTAGTGCTGCAGGCCATTAATTTGTAGGTGTCATGCCACCCATAAGAAGGCAGGGGCAGACAGGGCTGCAAGTCTTCAGTAAGGCAAAAGGAAGGACTTTCTTGAATCTTCTTGCTGTTATGCCCAGGAGATCTGTTCCTTTATCTGGGACCACAGCTGTTAGCTGCTGTAACAGGAAAAGCCAAAATCCATGATACTACCAAATCTTTCAGACGTTCAGGTTAAAGTTTATGCAGATATTCTGGACTTTGAAAAACTCAGACATTAGAAACACATCTGGTCCTAAACACAAGCGTGGTATTCAACCTATACCAGGAATTCTTCTTGCCCTCATCACTAGGCTATTGTACAGTTTGGTAAGGGTTCTGAAAATCAAGGTCCAGGGCTAAGGTGGTTTCACAACAAGAAATAAAAACGATATTATTTTAAAAGTTATGTGTGTATATGTCTGTTTGTGTGATGTGTGTCTGTGCCACGTGCATGCAGATGCCCAAAGAGGCCAGAAGAGGGCAGCAGATACCCTAGTGCTGGAGCTCCAGGAGGTTGTGAGCCACCTGATAGAGAAGCAACAGGAGCTCTTAGCCAGTGGGCCATCTCTCCTGGTCGGGACTTTTGATTTAAGTTGTGCCTCTTTAGAAGTCCTGCAGTGCAAAGCACTGTAATCTCAGGCCCAGAGTCTCTTGACTGGGAAGAAGCTGCTGCCCATCCTTTCTAAGGGACTGCCATGGAGTCCACTTCAAAAGTCCAGGGGCTTGTCCCAAGCAGAAATGGCTTCTGGGTTGAGTGTCACATGCAATATTATAGCACTGTTGCTGAGGTATAATCCCATGGGGACTTAAGAATATGAAACCTGTGCTATCCACCTTGCCACTGACCACCAAGCCTGCTTCACTACATAGCTACAAGGGCTTTCCAGTTGTTTGTGTGGGTAGCAAGGTGCTGAAGGGGACAGAGTACTCAGGATGCTGTCATGAGATGAGTAAGGAGGAAAAGGGGAGGGTGGCCACAAGGAAAAGACCTAGCCCAGGTAGGGCACAGAGGGCCGGAGGGGTGGGAAGGCTGATCACACAGAAATCTTTGTGGACAGAGGAAGCGTGAGTAACAAGCTGCACCTGCTGCTGGTGGTAGTGGTGTGGGTGTGTGTGCTGTGGCCACTCTCTGGGACCCACACATCTACAAAAAGTTACAGGATCCAATTATAACGGATAGGACCATCTTGCCCAGGTGGCCTCTCTGAGGTAGGAAGGTGGATTTGCCCAGCTGCATTCTTGGCTGGGATTAGAGTTGCTTTATTGATGTTCTCCTACCTCCTGTCTCTAAACCCCAACCAAGCTGTTTACTTATGTTTATTAGGAGGTAGGGAACAACTATTTACCACATACATTAAATGGTCCCTATTCTGGCCTCTGTGTCTGCACAGTGGCCCCCTTCACTCCTCTAGTGGACTCAAGGCACTAATGACATCCTTGTTGTCCTCATTCTTTCTAAAGGCATCACACACTGAGGAGGAAATGAGGGACAACAGCCTAGAGGCATGCAGCTTCTGAGAACGGGAGGCACCGATTATGAGCCGGTACACAGAGGAGGTTTGATGTGCAGGGCAGGTGTCCCACTGAATAATGCTGCTGTTGAAAGGGACAGTCTCACCCATCCTGCACATGGGTCGCCTGACCCATGAGAACATTTCACATGGTTTTGTGAAGTGAAGGGTGCCATTTTCCGAATGCAATCTTGTGAAAGTCTGCCTTGCCTGTGATTTTCTTGTGCATCCTGCTCTGGGCTTCTCTGCCCTTTTTTTGGGTCCTCCTGGGGAAGAGGGACACTTCATGGCCTCAGAATTAAGCCAGAACTACTCTAACATCCTGACTGAAGCCATGGCTCAACAGAAACAGCAGCTTCTAAAAGCAAGGATCATTCTCTAAGCAATTTCCCAGTGTGACTTCCAGGTGGGAAAGAGCCCCACCGATGAGCAGCATGGCATTCTTGCTGGGTGCCACATGTGTGTTGAGCCCCAGTCCCCTTTGGTGTCTCTATTCTTGTCATGTTCACTCCAGGAGGCCCTGCTAAGTGTCCCTCCATGTTCCAGATTTGCTGGTTTTCCCAATGGAACCAATACACACCTGACACCTGTCCAGGTGGAAATAAAGCAGAAAGCCTCAGCAGGTGGTCTCCAAGAGCCCCCAGTATGCAGTCTGGGAACAAGGGACGAGGTGACTACTGATCGATCATCAATGCACACCTGGCGGCCTCTCCATAGTCTCCAGACATGGTCTCCCATTGGAAGGCAATTATTTTGAAGTTGACAGAGTCAACACTTGTTTAGACTTTGTGTAGTTTTCAGGATTTGGAAACATGACTTGAAGTGGATGCTTTGAAGACATTCAGAAGCCAGGAGAAAAAAGACCTTGTGCCAAGACACACACCTGTTTTTGGGGCTCACCTCCCCCAATTCATTTTATGTTCATGCTTATTCCTTGATGTGTGAAGATGAAACCTACATTTGCTCTGCTGATACTTGTCTAATCTCAGCATGGGCCCTGAAGCCTTGAGTAATCTCCATGACTGGCCAGGTTGGGTTCCCCTGACTAGAAAGGCCACTTCTAGGTCCCACCTCTCAGGTCTGGCCTGGATGTGAGAGGCATTTCTGTGAAGGAAGCTGAGAAGACAGGTTCTCATGGTCACTGTTGGATTGGCTGATCTTGGAAGCCTGGAAAAGGCTGAGATGTGCCCTTAGCAGAGATTCTCCACAGCTTCCTTCCCTCAGTGAGGGATTCTGGGACTTGGCTGTGGCTGCCTTACCCTTCATAGCCATGCCCTACTGAAACCACCCTCAAGGTGCTGTGTGGGCAGAACCCAGAGGCCCCCTTGGTTGACTCACCAGCTCATCTGCAATCAGGACATCTCAAGTAGCATTGTTGCCATGCTTTGGCCATTGTGAGGGATTTAAGGCCTTAAGAAGGGGTTTGCAATGTCCGAGAAAAAAAAAAGCCAAAGGGTAGTGTTCTAATACTCAAAATGAATTTAAAGACTTGCAGCAACATTGAAATCAAAGTCTTTTTAACAATTGTTTCTGGGACACAGTGCTCCAGGCTGTGAGGTGGGGGGGGGGTGGCTACCCAAAAGCAGGGTGCATCTCTTGTTTGTGCCTGAAGGCGCATCTAGATAGGTGTAGTCCTGGCTTAGGGTGCCTTTTCTTTTTTTCTTTCAAGTCTGGAATCTAGAGGTCACTGCCTGCACAGAGAGAGTTCAACGATCTGGAATTCAGGTAGCTTGTTTTAGGAGTCTTGGTGACTATGACTGCCCCCCTATCTGGCCTTGAATCCACTTTGTCAAGTTGCTCTTGAATCAGGAAACATTGGCTCTATTTTCCAAGGCAATTCCACAGCGACATCAACATTCATGGTTTCTTTTATTGTCTTATTCTCTCTGCACACATTCTCCACTCCCTCCCCCCACCCCCCACCCATGGAACTCTTCCAGGGATATCTATCTTTGGTTTAACCAATCTAGGAATCTAGAGATCTGACAAATGTCAAAAATATTCCTGTCTGATTGCATCTGGTGCTGGGACTCCAGGTGCTGGCTCCCAGCCAGGCAGCTTTTGCTCTGGCCGGCAAGGCATGATTTAAAAAAGGAAAGACTTTGGGCAGCTCGAAAGAATGTGTGGTGACAGTTGAGGTTCAGCACTTTCTGGCTGGGTCACCAGAGCATCCTGGCTTCCCTTCTGTGTCAGGGAGAAAGGGGAAAGGGATGGTGTGCTCGATAGCCCTTACCTGGTTGCTGGAACATGAGCATGTTTTGTGGGGAAGTGTGCACAGGCAGCGAGCGGGTCTTCTGGACGGAGCTGTGGGTGCGGCTGGGCATGCTGTTGCTGCCCCCGGGGTTGGCAAACCAGAGGTTCTAGGAAGGGACACACAAGACGGGGGCATTAGTTCAGGACCTCTGGGGAAGGGTGGGGAAGCAGAGCTCCAATCCAGAACTCAGGAGACAGCTATCCCAGGAGAGTTTTGGAGAGGGCCAGTGCCACCCATCTGTGGATTTACAAGATGGTTTAGACTAGTTTGATGCTCATTCTCAGGCCTTGCTTTAAGCTAGAGCTTACCCTGGCCACCTTTTCTCTCTATCTCCAAAAGTATTTTTACTCCATTTGTTGCTTTTTCTTAAAAAGGGGGTTGGGTGGGGGCTGCCTTAGAAATGCCTGTAGCAAACAGTGCAGTGAGTTTAGGGCTCTTGTTTGATTTTCTTTTTGAGAGCACCCAAATTTACTCCATGACGGGAGAAAAGAAGACTAAGCGCTGGCAGTAGACCTGCATGATACCACAAACTTGTCCTGTGGCGATCCCTCCTAGAGCTGAACAGGGCTTCTCAGGCATGCCCTTCCTTTTGGGAGGGAATGTCACCTGCCTCTCTGGGTGTAGCCTCTCTGTTCTGCAGCCACTCTCTCATGAGAACCCAAGCCTCAGACCTGCTATTGTGTCCTCTACCCTTAGGTCAACCTCTATAGCCCCATGGGGCTGAGGGAACACTGGGGAAAGGCAGTGTTGAGCTCGTGGGGCAGAGAGGATACTGTAAATCTCACAGCAGGGGGCAGCCTCTCAAACTTAACCCTGTGGACTGTTGACTGCATAGCAGCTGGGACTGTGACAAAATAGCTATTTGTCACATAAAAAAAAAAAGTCAAAGAAAGCTTATTAAATGCCAAGGTCTTCTGGAACCTCGTCCTGGAAGGTGATGAGGTATGTTGGGGTGGGTCAAAAATCAAGCAGAAAAGGCCCTTGCATGACTGTCTCCGAGAGTCCCTAAAACTAATGTGGCACTAGGCTTCCCAAGCAACAGCTATGGGGTGTTCAGTTCCCAGGGAAACAACACAAACAGTGCTGGTCACCTGGGAGGTATGGGCTCAGCCCTCCCCCTTCCCGTCCCCTTTGCTTTTTTGCTTTAGATCTCCTCGGGATATCAGTTCCCATTTTGGAGATTGTCTGGCTTGGGATCATTCTAAAGCCTCAGACCCTGAGGTTGGTCAACCTCCCCACTTCCCAGACCTTAACCAACCTGTCTTCCTTGTTTCATGATGGTGGGGTTGGCAGCCGTGTGGCGTTGGTTGGAGCTAACAAATCCACTGGTGCCCAAGAGACCAAGGCGAGCAGAAGGGACATTGCGAGAGGCAATCTGGTACTGTCGTGGGTTCCGTCTGCCCATGCCACTGCCCACAGAGCTGGCTGTCGGGAGGGAGTTGGACTGCCCAAAGCCACGACTGTGAGAGCAAAGAGAAAGGACCCAGAGTCTCATACTTTATCTCCACATAGCCCAGGCTGCCAGTGGGGCCTCCTAGGGGCTGACAGTAAGAGGTCTTAGGGGTAAGTGCCAATAATGGCTAAGATTAAAACTCCATCTAGTATCTAAAAGCCAACAGCACTTGCTGGATATTGGAACTCACACACTACTCAGCCCACGAGACAACCCTATGAAGTAGGCTCCCTAACATTTACAGCTAGAAAAACAAAAACAAACAAACAAACAAAAAAAAAAAACCCAGAAAGCTTGAGAATTTTGTGATTGCCACATAGCCAGCAGGGGGCAGCACCCAAATATGAGCCCAGAAGGGAAACCCATATATATTCTCTTGCCTTCTCTCATTCTTGTCTTGTCCAAGATCTTGTGGATCAATGCATGAGGGCCTGGTGCCTTTCAAGAAGCCACAAAGCAAAACAGCAGAATCAGCACCAGAACTGATCTGACTCCGTTCTGGTGCTCCTTCATTGTGCCGTGGTTCTTTTCTGACCAGGTTGTCTGTAGGCAGTCTTGGAAAGAGGATGCCATTGAAATACAAGAAAGGATGGCGGAAGTCTCTCTCAGCCGTGTATGTCCCGAGTCTGAATCAAGGAGTCAGCTTTTCCTACAGTAAATGCTAGGTTGAAAATGGGCATAAGTGAATGAATGAGACTTGATTCTTCGCCAAAGGAGAGGCCAGTCTGGTGTGTGGGGCTGACTCCAGCCCTGAGAGCAGGGTCATGAGATGGCTGACTTACTTGCAAGTTCCCTGGACCTAGCACAGTCTCTCCATTCCCCATGTCCTTTCTGCAGGACGAGCCTCAAACTGCAAAGGCTCTGCTCTTCCGATCCACGCAGGAGACTGCTCCCAGTGGATCGGATGAGCTCAGCAGAAAGGCACTCATCTCCTCCACTAACCCCGGATTCTGGGATGCTTCAAGAACGGGTACATTCTTTCCAAGGGAGTCAGTCAGCTTTAATCAGGAGGGTGGAGTGGACATGCGTCGCAGGCACTGGCCACTAGGTGGAGCAGAGTCGCTTGGTTGCTAAACTGGGGAGTTTTCACCAAGCTTGTGAGGAGACTGCTGATGCTGACTGAATTGAGCCAGTGAAAGTCCTGGAGGGGGGAGGGGTCGCTTCACAACATTCACTCCCCAAGTCAGAAGCTGTGCGTGGATGTGGGGAAGGTGGTGTCTGCGACGGCAGTGCAAAAGCGCTAAGACTTCCTAAATTTCCTAGGTAGAGACAGGATAAATGCTGGCATTCTGTCTCCTTCCAGGTTGTTGTGGCCAAGAAAAGAGTTCTAGTTTCCATTCAGAAGAGAAAGTTACTCTTGACTTCTTGGTCTCTTTATCTCATGGTCTCTTCCTTCCCCCTCCCCCATCCCCCCCAAGTTTAAGGTTTTAAAACTGAAAATGTGGGTGAGGGGAGCTAAGCGATTTCATGCAGAGTTTCTCCCCTTTCCCTTTGGAGGGGAGACAGTGAGGTAACTTGAAAAAGTGGGAGCAAGTGGGGATTTGTTTTTTCAGCTTGGAAGCAGGAATCTGGGCCACCTGGTGGATAGATGATCAGTATTCTGTGAAGATCCTCCACATCCCTTATTTAGTGTGAATAGATTTTTCTCACTTCCCTTTTTGGCTGGATTTTTAAAAAGTTGTTTCATATGCAAAACAGTAGTAGATGAGTCTTGCTAAAATGATTTGTTCTTCCATGAAAGCAACATTGTAGCTTTTACTTAAAAATCTTTTATTATTATTATTATTATTTTTTTTTTTTGAGACAGAGTCTCACTATGTAGCACAAGCTGGCCTCAAACTCTTGACCTTCAGCTTCAGCCACCCACGAGCTGGGACTACCTAAGAAAATCAGCCCTGGGTCAGGACTATTTTCTAGCAACATCAATATGTAGAGGGCTCTGTTAGGGGGCAGTTACTGGAGGAATGGAGAATCTTGCTAATCCTAAGAGTTAGAGTTCAACTGTTTGGGGGAGCAGAAGAAAGCCAAGAATATTCCCGTGTGTGTGTGTGTGTGTGTGTGTGTGTGTGTGTGTGTGTATTTTTACTAAGCCAGGTTTGCTAAGAGTTGCTGCTGCCCACAGCTGGCATGCACTCTCAGGATATTCATGACCACTCACCTTAAGGAAATCATTTTGCTTCCTGAGAAAGTACAAATTAAGGTATCTGTTCTTGTGCTCTGAGTGTCTATACCTCACCTTCCCTGCTTTCCTGAGCCTGACTTCCTTTCCTAGCAGTACATGAAGAGTCTTTGATAAAATAACATTAACAAGAAACAATTAATTTAGATTTGTGAGATAATTTAAGCAGGGGCTTGCCTGCTGTTGCTTTTGTATGGGAGAAACAGTTTTTAAAACAAATTAACAGTGTAAAAATATCCCAGAGGTAATCCATTGAGCAGGCTGTGTTTCACGGGTTTGGCATCATCCTTTTGAACATCCATAATTGGTGAATGAATTTGTTCTTATCTAGTCCATAAAAAAGCCCACAAGGACTCCGACCTGGCAGAGCTCAGGTGCCTGTGACAGTCTGGGGAAGCTGAGCACTGTCCATGCTCTCTCCCTCGGTTCAGCTCTTCAATGGGGATCAAGGATGCACAGGGCAGACAGCAGCAGGGGCTGAGCTGCTGGTGACAGGAGCAATGAGCTCATAAGCTGGTTCTTCAATGTCTACTTCAGAATGACATCCTCTAGGAACAGGGCTCCACAGGGTACTGCAATAGGGCTGTAGTCCTCATCTGGAAAACCGTAGCATCGCATGTAGAAGGGTGGTTGGTGGCAGTTGAGTAGTAGGCCTGGCCTTGCATCCAGGATCCAGGCCACTGAACAGCCTCAGAGCAGCCAACCCCCAAGGGCTGGGGGGATGGTCAGTTGGCAGTAGTATTGATTGGCAGGCACACTCTTTCTGTGCATAAGCCTGAGACCAGGCTAGCTTGGTCTAAACCCTGGTGCCTATAATAATAGTGGTTCTACTTCATAGGGTTGTTGTGAGTTCTGAATTAATAATTTTTTTTTTTTTGTGCTCAGATACCACTGGCATGTGCTAAGTAAATGCTTGCTTAATAAATAAGTGTTATATGGTGGAATGTGATAACATCTTAATTTTAAGCAAATCGACAATAAAGATGTTTCACAAGCTCCAGCTGGCCTTATTTCCTTTAGGTGATAAGGCATGTTTATGCAAATGAGTACCCCCCAATTTAACATTAACTGCTTTTTGTACATACACTGAGAAATGAGTTCAGAACATGTTAGGTGCAAGGGGAGAAATGAATATTTGTCTGCTTATGTCCAAAAACATAACACAAAATGGTGATTCGAGAATGGTGGGGTGGTCACTCTCTTCCTTCCAAATCCTCTCCATCATTGTTCATGCTAAGGTCAATCCTCCTTGCCCCTTTATTTCTGTGGTAAACTTGCCCTTCACTTTGCATCTTCCATACACCCGATTTCTCAATTTACATTCATACTAAGGTAACATGTTCTGAAGTGTGACCAGGCTTATTTTTAACTGCATCCAAGAAGCTGAGCTACTATGAAAAATCAAGAATGGTACCTGCCCCACTATTAGACTGCTGCAGCTCAGACCAAAATAGATGAGCACTGGGCTCTTCACCCTGCCACCAACTATAATTAGCTTGTCTGCAGCGAGGAGGGAGAAAAGCATTAAACTTCCACTTAAGGTGCTGATAGAAGATTCCACTCAGGTCCTTTCAGAGCCCCACTTTGTGGTTCAACCATTCCTGTGTTGCTGGCATTCATGAAATCATGAGCTCATGCTTCTAGACACATATTAGCATTCTGACCATGTAAATTGAGTTACAGGATGCCCAAATTCAGCTCTTCCCCTGGGGATGTTCCTGCTAACAGCCTTTCTCTCACCACAGCCTGTTTTAGGCAATATGATTTGGAACTCTGCAAGGATGTCCTCATGAACAAGGGAGTAATGCCCGCCATATTTTTGCCTGGAACTGAGGCAGGTAGTGAGGCACCAGGGAACCACTGTGCCTTACAAAGAACACAATCCCAACATACTTTCTTTGCTGTCGATATCCTGATATGTCTAGAAGGGTTTTCCGAGGGAAAGACCGAAAGAGCTTCTGCACCTGCTGTTTCCATGACAACAATCTTTTTTTCTGCGTCTCTGTAAATGCCTGCAAAAACAAACAGGACTTTTAAATGGGTGACGCAACCTGGCATTAGAGAGAAAGACATATAATTAATAAAGGAAACCGCCTGTGTCTCCACAGTAGCACCCCCCCCCCACACACACACCTGTTTCCAACCTGGTCCAAACGTCAGTCAGTTTAAATTGGAGCCATCTGTGCTGAAGATTCCAGTTATTTGGCATTGGGAACACCTGGTTCAGGCATTAAGCGCTTGACAACCTTGTTTCTGGAAGGCCCTGATCTATCTTCCCCTCCTACGACTCTTTCCTGAACCCTGTTTGTTAACGAAGGATGAGCTGCAAGATTGATTGTTAGGTATTCTAGCTTTGTAGACTCCCTGAATTTTCATAATCAATGGAAATTCTAAGCCACTCCAAAAATCAATTGGCTTGATGGTATATGGTCACTCTAGAGTGGTCTGCAGGGCTTCAGAGAACAGCTATGTTTTGTGTCTTGGAACATCTTTTTTTTTTTTTTTTTTCTGAGAGATCTCTAATTAAATGGTCTTGTGCCCTATGAACAACCCCAGCATACCAGTCCTGATCTTAACCTTGCCTATAGTTGAGAGAAGAAGGTAGGCCTGATGCCTTCTTGAATCTTCTAGTAAAATTTGGAGTGTAGGGAGACGATTTGTTTAGTGTCTGTAACACATGTCTACCTCATCTTTACCACACAGCACACATCTATACTGTCTATAGCACATAGCACAAACCTATATCATACTCTCTGTGATGTATAGCCTCTGCACTCACCATAGCCCAGGATCTCATATCCCTAATGTAGGGACTCTCAAATTCAAGTACATTAAAATCATCCAAGGAGACTGTTGTATGTAGGTGATAGACCCCCCCCCCCGTGCCCCAAAACATGCTTGAATGGATAATCTAGAAGGTTTCTAGACAGTACTCTGGTAATTGTGCTGGTAGACCATTGTGGGTTCATGGTGTCCCAGAAGGGAATCCATGTCATAGATGAGTCCCTGAGAGATGAGGCTTGGAACATAGTGTAAGAAAGCTGTCTGGATTGGTTAGCATTAGGAGTGACAGAGAACATTCCCATGAGGCTTTGTCAGTAAGGCATAGAATCCTTTAAGTAGTAATAAAGTATTACTTAGAGTCACAGACTAAATGCTTGCTTTCTATAAAGGAAATGGGTTTCTTGAAGTCTGAAAAAAAGAATGACAGCTTAATTTTCTCCTGAGGATGCTTAATCTTTTAGGGATGTAAACCCCAGAGAACTTCGTGGATAAAAGCAAAAGGGTATCATTCAGGTTGGAAACTTTATCCTCAGCCTACAGATCCCTTCTTCCTGGGTTACCTCAGCCAGATGCCACTGAGGATGTTCAAGGAGGAATGTCCAATTAAAGGTCCTTGTAGTTGTGTGTCAGAGGCTCTGAAGGTTGGAGGGTGAGTGTGTGGCTCTCCCCCATGGTTCCTGTGATTGTGTCAGAGGCTCTGAAGGTTGGAGGGTGAGTGTGTGGCTCTCCTCCATGGTAGTAAGGTCCCTATGGTTGTGTGGCAGAGGCTCTGATGGCTGAGAGGTAAGTGTGTGGCTCTCCTTCGTGGCCCTTCTCATTTGTTGGTGATGATCATCGGATGTCCATTGATGCACAGATGCTGATAACTGGACTCAAGACTGACATTGCTGCTTCATTAATAAAGACAGGAAATGGGCTCTCTGATTTTGATTAGCTTATCCGGCTAAATGTTAAAGACACAAGATATAGTTGTGCTGGCCAAGATGCCCTGGTGCTTTTACAGAAGAGCTGGTGCTTTGTGGGGAGTTGAGGGGGGACACTCACTCAAAAGGGCTCTGTGAGTATGAAATGCATTGGGTGCAGATACTGAAGACATCCTTAAACAGTTCTACACATGCTGTTCCCTAACACCCCAACCAACTGCAGGGTGATCTGTGTAAATTCCTCAGCAATGACTTTAGCCCTACTAGCAAGGCAAATCAAATGGCTTCATCATCTTAGAACCACAGAGCCCAGTTGCACTTGCGCTTGAAGAACAACTGAGTGCCCAAGTCACAAAGGGTTAAAGAGCTAGATCCCTTCCCAAGGATGTCATTATGTTGATGACATCTCTCATGGTGGCACACAGCATTGGAGTAGATACAGCATGGACACCCTCATCCCCAGGACATCACCACACCATTTGCTGGGTGCGGAGGGAGCAGCTCTTTCAGCTGGGAGGCATCCAGCTAGTCAGCTAAGGTAGGTCACACCTGGTTTCGGGGGCATCTGAAAATAGAATTCTGTCTCTACGAGGTGGCACCCCATTGTGGGGAACCTGCTAATGGCTTCTCCCCTAGCAGCCCAATGCCTGAGGACCAGGGAAGGGAGATTCCAGGTCTGCTGACTTCCTGGATACTACCAGTCATCCTGCTCAAGTCCTCTGCCCCTGTCAGGTCCAGACCTGTCTGTCTGGAAAGAGATGGCCACCCTACATCCTGTAGTTTACCCACTGGGTGAAAAGTCTCAACAAGCAGAAGAGCCCATTGCTCCAGGACCACTTCAAGATAGTGGGGCGGGAAGCTTAGTCCAGTGATTTAGGAATCAAAGTGAATTGGCAGCACAGGTAAAACTCAGAATGTCCCTGTTCTTTCCTTAACATCTTCAGGGTGTCGGGACCTTCCTCTTTAGGAAAGAAGTGTCTCCATTTAGTGAACATGTTCCCGTTGCAAGCCTGCTAAAGAACAGATGGCCCTGGCTGTGGGAAGGACCCCTGTCTAAGGCTCAGGTCCAAACCTTGCCACTAGCCTCCAAGGACAGGTATGTGCTGCTGACAGGGATTAATCCTGGGCTGTGGGGAATTATCCAGCCAATGAAGATTTGAGCAATGCTTTCCCTTCCAGCGCACAGTGTGGACCTGTGTATCCTGGCACAAGTTGGTGCAGAAAGACCTGCCACAACACCCGTTTTGCCCGTGAAAGGAGGTGCTCTCCAGTAAACAGAAGATGGGAACCAGCACAGTGTGTCCTCTTCACAACTAAGCACTGTGGGCACCAGAGAGGAAAACAAGAATGCAAAACACAGGCAGGGCCCCCATGGAGGGCACAAGGCTTGGGAGAAGGGTCAGGGGGAGGGCCAATCAGGGGGCATGTACATAGTTCCAGGGAGGCAGCTAGAGTTACTTGGTCTTCTGGGTCCAAGGGACTTGGGCTGAGGTGAAGAGCACCTTTTCCTCTCAGCTCTAGAAGTCTCGGTGCTGAGAGTGGGCTCAGGAAAGGAAGACAGGTGCCCAATTTGCTTCTACATAGCTTAGCTCTTAGCCCTTCTCCTGACCCCCTTACACCAATGTCCTCCTCCAATGCATAGCACTGCACTCTACCTGAACACCAATTTGTGCCCATAGAAGTTGTGTCTTTTGTTTTCTTAAAGATTTTATATTTTTATTTTTGCACAGTGTGCGCGTGCCCATGGAGGCCAGGAGTGGGTGTGAGGCTTTCTAGAATTGGAATGAAAGGGAACCCAGCTCAGGTCCTCTGCAGGAGAAACAACTGCTCTTAAGCACTGGGCTATCTCTCCAGCTTCAGAAGTCTCTAGCACAGTGCTAGGGCTGGACTTCTGGACTCAGCTTCGAGACAGTCCTTTCTGCTGCTGGAGAGCAAGGGCCCTGGGCTCCAGCTCTAGGTTAGGTGCCCACTATTTCACATTCTTGTGTTCTGAGGCATGGGAGGGAACCTCACCAGGGGTCTTATCATCATGTAAAATGTCCCCCACAGGCTCATGTTTGAACACTTAGTCCCAGCTGTTTTGGAAAGCATGGCCTCATTGGTTGAAGTGGGTGCCGGGGGCAGGCTTTCCAGGTCATAGATCCATGCCAATTCTCACCTAACTTCCCCTGCTTCCTCGTATAGATCTGAGATAAAGCTAGAGGGCCTCCTCAGGCTCTTCACCTTCACCAAAAGAAGCTTCCCTTGCCTCACACACTTTCCCCACATGAGAAGCAAAGTCTGGAAGTTGTTTCTATCCCGGAATTTGATCACAGGAAGAGAAAAGTAACTTGTACACCAATTTTCCCCAGCATACTCATGTCATAAGCCTCTTGGGCCAGGGGCTGTGCCTAGCTGCTTCCTAAAAGTGTACAGAATTCTTGCCTTCCCTTTTTTCTGTCTTTTTTATTTCTAGTTAAAAACAAGTGTAACATCAGGATTGCAACTAGCAAAGGGTTAGTTGGGGCTTATGGGGTGTAGTATTGTCGCTTCCTGAAATAAACAAACACATAATGAAGGCCTTCAGTATGGGCTTCAGCCATTGTTAGGCAGGGTCTTGTTGCTCTGGAGTTATTAGAGAAATAGTTATTTTTTAAAAAGAATACATACATACATACATACATACATACATACATACATATGTATATATCTCAGTGCTCTATCTTCACATATACTAGTTTGCCATAAGAGGGCATCAGATCCCATTGTAGATGGCTATGAGCCACCATGTGGTTGCTGGGTTTTGAACTCAGACCTCTAGAAGAGCTACCAATGCTCTTAACTGCTGAGCTATCTCTCCAGCCCAAGAAATAGTTAATTTTGTTCACCTAAATGTCTAAGGCTTTGGGATAACTGTGTCAGAGAATGGCATGCCTGAGTTCACAACCTAGACAGCTGATTACTGTGCTCACAGTGGCAGAGGGCTCAGATGGGTCAAGGGTCTACATGAATTCATACTGCCTAGAAAAGTCACTATTGAGATGACAGTCTTGGGGAACAGAGAATGACTGGCTGGGATGGAACCCCAGGAGAATGTGAAGTAGATATGGCAGCTTGGCTTGGCAGCATCAGACTGCAAGAAGGGCTCCAAGAGGCAAGAGACAGTTGTGCCACTGGGAGATTGAGTGTGAAGGCAGAGTGAAGCCAGGACTCCAGGGTGGCCACCTATTTATTGTCCCTGGGACCCAGAGAACTTTCGGGGTTCTGACTAGCAACAAATACATGTGAGGGGCTCTAGCCATTTCATCTGCACATCAATACCCAACAACAAACTTCACTAGCCTATTTATCTGGCTGTGTTTTCCCTAATCCAGATCTTATACCTATCACTCTTGGAGGGCACCCACAGAGCCATTGAGTGCCTGGGTCTGAGCCCCAGCTGCCCTTGCTTATTTATTGCTGAGGAATTACTACCATCCTAGTTACTCCCAGGAGTCTTCCAGGCTTTTACATGAAGACTGTACTCAGAGGTTATACCCTACCTGCCTCCATTGCCTTCCTTAGGTCAGATGGCAAATACAGGTCCTAGTACAGCCACAAGTCCAGACAGTTCCAGAGGCCATCAGTATCTGCCCTATCACTGTCTTCCATGTGCGTTCTCTCTCCCCCAGTTTCCCTCATTAAAAGACACTGTGTGATCACACAACATGAGGAAGACCACACTGTGGAGCGGGTAGCAGTGCTGGGAGTTAGTCACCCCAGGCATGGTCACTTATTCTCCTGGGGTTCGAAGTTCTTCCCAGGCAACCCCAGACAGCAGTGCTCTATCTGGTGAATCCTGATGCCAAGGGCACTCACATGCAGAGTAACAGCCTAGTTCTGTTAAAACTTGTCAAAAACAAGTTGCTGGAGACCAAAATGATCCCATCACAGAAACTCTGACGAGCATGTCTAAGCAATGAGAGAAACAGGTATAAATCAGTTGCTACTCACCTCATGAACGAGACACTTGTCTAAGAGCTGTAGATAGGAACTTATATTTTCCTCATCAGGTCTGGACACCAAGAGCTGTGTGCACACTGTGAATTAAAAGATGAATCAGAACAATATACACGGTTCCAGTCTCTGGGATCTGTCTCTTTCAGAACCAAGACCTTCCGAGGGACATGTGCCTGTGACATTACATAAGGCTCACAGAAAACACAGGAGGATCATGCCACTGAAGTCAAATGCTCAGTTGCCACGGGAGCCCTCACCCCAGAAACTCCTTGGGTTTGTTCCTGTCATACCATTCTATATTAAGCCCTCACACACAGGCCTGAAGACAGACGCTCTGAGAGAAGAAACAGAGGTCTCAGGCTCTGCTTTTGCAGGTGGTTCTGAGTGAAGGAGCTTCAAAAGCCTTCTGAGCCCTCTGTCACAGTGGGAGAGCAGTCCCATTTTATGAATGAACCACACACCCCTCACCAGGTGGGAAGGCAGTGGTGTTTGTGTGTAGCAGGATGAGGCTGATGCCACATTTTGGCTGTGAAGCATGTAGGCGTACACGGAGCAGAAGAAACCTGCCTTTCAGCCATTAGCAGGGTTATTTTCCCAATGCAATACACACATTTATCCACACATGCCTTCACTACACACTCAAGCATGTGCCAGAAAAGACAGGGCAATGTTTGTCTATGGGAGGAGGGTATGCATATACTAGGTTTGTTTTCTTCTTTCTTTCCTTTTTTTTTTCTTTTTTGGGGACGGGATTTCTCTGAGTAGCCCTAGCTCCCAGCTGTCTTGAAACTCACTCCATAGACCAGGCTCACCTCAAACTCAGAGATCCACCTGCTTCTGCCTCCCAAGTGATGAGATTAAAAGTGTGTGCTACTACACCAGCAATGTACTAGGTTTCTTATGACTGTGTTCACGACCCACCCTGCCCTTACCATAAAGGCCACCTGCAAAGGGAGTCAGGATTGGGGTATCTGTCAATCAAAGCACCCCAAGCCTGAAATCTGGGGATCAGAATTTTACCCCTCCCCCTTCCAAGCATCCTGACACAGATACCCAGAGTAACAATGTTTGCAACAAAAACCTAGGAATGGCCTCAAGGTCTACCCATGGGGAACCTTGTAAATAACGTGTGGAACAGCATACAACCTTAAAAAAAAAAAGGTGTTTTTCATATTTTGACAGAAATATGCAAATATTTAACATTTATGGAAATCCCACCAAGCTTCAGAAGAGAATCTTAAAACCTGTGTAAAGATGGATAGTCACGCCGGAGTGTATGATGCTAAAGCTTCTCAAAGGACAGCCCCCCACATTCAATAGTAGCCACCTCGAGAGATGGCACGGCTTGGCAGGAGCGGATGGAGCTCGCTGGTTTTCAGTCCCACTGTTTAATTTCTATGGCGTATGCTGAGTGTCAGCTGGGTTGTGGCTTCTCACACAGTAGTTACATTGTCAACAAAGGTTGTGTTGAGGAGTGTCATCTCCCAGGGCTGAGCCCCACCATGATCCCCTGTGTATAGGGATAGGAGTATGGAGCATGTTCAGGTAGCTTTGCTGGGCTGGGTCTTTCCCACAATTCCACAGGGCTGAGGGGTGGGAAGGGGTTAAAAAGGCCTGCTCAGGCCAGCTAGTTCCAATCTCTGCCCTGGGGATGCTGTGAGTTTAAAGGTCCATTCATCAACAAGGCACAGCGATCCACTTCTGTGAGTGAAAATTTGGTTCATTAGGCAAAAAAAAGGGCTCCCTCATTTTTAAAGGAAAAGTACTAGCATTCACCACCCCCCCTCCAATAATCAGAATGTCTTGTGAAGGATCTCCAGCACAAATTATTCAAGGTGGTGCATTTTCAAAGATGTGGCCATAAAGACCTAGCTGCAGGGAAGGCAGAGGGCAGTGAAGGCAGGAAGGGTGGTGTGGTCCACAGGACCCACTTAGCTCTGTCCTGCCCTGACGACATCACAGTTTGGCCATGGCTACTGTGCGCAGGATCCAGCTTCAGGCTATGTGTATCAGTGCCACCCTCCATCTCAGGGTACTTATCAGTCCCTACCATCAGCCGGGCCTGTGTACCCTGTGGCTATTACAAGTGGCCCGATGCCCCTAGGTTAATGGGGTTTACAGTCAAGCAAACAGATGGCTGTAATGAAGTGTGAACTGAGTTAAGAGGAGGAGACTAAGGGGCTGTGAGGAGGATGTGAGAAGGGTACCTGGTGCAGTCCAGAGGCCCTGCTAGACTGCCTCAGCATGGGGAGACTTGGCTGGAACTTAGAGGACAAGAAAGTAGAGCAAAGATGAAGAAACTGAAGCAAGGGAAGGAGTCTTCAGTCAAAGCTGGCGCATGTAGATGTGCAGGTTGTGCATTGCTTGAGTAAACTGAGGGGAGAGACCATAGTCCTGCATCCACTCAGAACGGGTTCTTATTTTCTAAGTCTGAGACTCTTTCAGGCGAATCCCAGACACAGGGAGCCTATGTGCAATTACTGGGAAGCGAGAGTTCGTAAGCTTCTGGAAACACACAGTCTGTCTGAAATGGAGGTGGTTAGTCAGTGAGTGAGTGGGTGAGTGAGCGAGCAGGAGCCCAGTGAGTCTCTGGGCTTGGTTACTATCAGTGAGGCAAAGGGGAACATCGAATGGAATTCAGTTGTGCTCTACCTGGAGCTCATAGGTCTCCTGGTAACTATGGGGGTGGGAGGAGGAGAAACTGTGTTTCAAATCCCTACCTCACTCATCTTGGATTCCTCTTTTGTGAAATGGGAGGTTTCGGTTCACCTCAGTCACCTAGGAGGACCATGGTGTGCCAGCCTCTGGTACACAGGAATTAAGCAACCACAAGACTCCCAGAGCAACCAGTGGGGTGGATGAAAGGTGAAGAGGGGTGTAAGCCCAGGAGGCCGAATAGAACAGCTTTGTTCTGTGAGCTGTCCCAGGCACGTCCACTGTCTGAATTACCAGGTGACTGGGAAGCCCCAGAGGCTGGGGGCTTGGCTCTTGACCCAAGGTCTGGGGCTTTACCAGTTCCAGCCACTGTTGCCTTGGGAGGGGTCAGTGGTTGAAAAGGGTTTTGTACTCTGAAACATCTTTTTCCATGTCTGTCCCACTTTCTTCCCTGAAGGTTCGAGGCCCAATAGGTGCTGTCCCGGAAGGGCTTAACATGCCTAGAGGGGTCCACAGGCTGGAGTTGAGGCCTCCCATGGGAAAACCTCTTGTTTCTCTATGGGAGCTAATGTCACTTACAAGGACAGGAAACTCATTTAGCTCTCCCCTACCCTACCCCAGCCCCCAGGATCCTTGGCTCTGGCTGGTGCTCCCAGAGAGAGCAGTACCTTTTCCCATGACTCGTGTGAACTGCCCGGGGAGGTCCCCCTCCGGCAGAGGGGCAACAGCCAGCTCCCCGTCGCAGCTGCTCAGTTGGGGTGGTTGCAGCCCACCACTGGCGCCAGCTGAGGCACTGGCTGTGACGCTGTTGGCCACCGTGGCACTGTCTTTGCAGTCGGTGCTTGGGTTCTCCGGGCCCATCAGCGAAGGCTCGTGGCGGCGTGCCTCAGGCGTGTTGCTGGGAGAGCTGTAGGCCTTGATGGGTGTCAGGATCATCTGATGGAGCTCCTGGAGGGGGATGCGCAGGCTGCCCCCTTCGATGATGTCCTGCATTAGAGAGAGGGGACTTTAGTAAGTCCAGGGCTGCTCTCCCTCTCCAGGCCCTTCTCTCTGACCTCTGCAGAGAGATGTCCCCATACAGAACAGTGCAGGTGGCTGGAATTCATAAATAAGAACTCAGGGAACTTTCTAGTAGGGGGGAGATGGCTTTAGAACAAGTCTGAAGAAAAACATGTTTAATGTACAACAGGAACTGATGTCATATGTGATACACACCTGTCTGAGGCTGAGCAGATGTTAAGAGGATCTGAATCCAGATCCCAGTGCCCATGTAAAAACTGAGGCCAGCAGTGCCCATCTGTAATCCCAGTGAGAGACAGGCTCCCTCAACAGCTGGCCTAGCAGAATCACTTAGCTCTGGGCTCAGTGAAAGGCCCCCATTTTAAAAAATGAATAAAATAAAGAGTGAGGAAGATACCTGATACCAACTGTCAACATCTGACCTACCCTCTACCCCGCACACATGCACACATACAACACATACACACACACACCTACATGCACACTACTTGAGTGCATACTCATGTATATACACTCACAAACATAGATTACTTTATGCAAACATTTTGGTGTACTTGGAACTACTTATTAGAAAAAGAAATAAAAGCAGTTTCTGATAGGGATGGTAGATTTTGGACAAGCCTAGGTGGCTTGGATCCTGGCTAGGGTCATCCTGGTGTGAGGGGAGGATGCCCCCTCGTCATGGTCACCATGTAGCTCCCAGTGCTTGTGTAGCTCTGATTGATTCTCTCTGGGACCTAGAAGGGACACTGCCTACCAGGGGCCCTGATTACAAACGAAGCACTTAATTTCCCGAGAGCCCAGATTAGCAAGAACATGATTTCAAAAGCTTGACACACAAAAGCCCAAAGCATTTCTAAGATCCTCTTGTGCCAAGGAAACGGCTTGATGGTGTTAATGAATGTAGACTTGAGGAACACGAGCACTTCTGACCCCAGCCTTTCCAATCAGTGGACCGGACAAAGGACAGCTGACAGTGGCAGGCGTAGGGTGCGCCCCAGCTCTGAAAGGCAGCGGGCACTGGCAAGCCAGACTCTTTCACTGGTGGAAGGGTGCTCTTTGGGTGGGCTGTGTGTGTGGGAATGAAATGCCCTTTGACCTAGTTGCCACAAGTTTTATTTACGAAGGAAGTGAAATTCTAATCTGCCACTAGAAATATCCTAACCCTGCTCAGGGCCACATATAGTTTAAGGTGAAGAGAAAGTCTGCCTCTGCTCCCCAACCCTGAGTTTCCGCTCCAGTTCTCCCTCTATACAGCAGGTTGGCCTGGAAGTCAAAATCTTCCAGTCTTGGTCCGAGTCACACAGTCATGCCTAACACTGCCTAGAGCAAGACATCCATCCGCCTCTGAGAGGAGGGCTTCAGAGGCGAGTTGGCCTCCTTGATTGTGAACACAGTGGCATGAGGGAGCAGGGTACCCTCAGCCTGCACTGACTTCTACACGTACTCTCCACTGTTCCCAGCCTCTCTGGAGTGCGGGTGTCGGCATCCCTGACTTGGGCCTTGACTTGATCTGAGTAAGAGGCCGGCTCAAAGACACCCTACTATCCTCGTGACACAACCACCCAAGGAGTGCTTGTACTGCAAGGACTTCAAGGCCCTGCCTAGCACATTGTTGAAGAGGACGGGAAACCAGTAAAGAAACCTGGCTTTGTAAAAAGGGAACAGGTGGGGCAGGCCAGGGCTCACTATGGTCTGGCCATGCCACCCCAGCGGCAGTGTCCCCCGGGTGAGCCTGAGACATTGTCACTTGCCACAGAGCTCTTCTGACTTGCGTCACATGGCTCTGTATTTCCTGGTGTGTGCGAAGATTTTGGGTACACTAAGAGTAAATTGATACAGATACATTGTAGCTTTAGCTCCTATGTTAGACTTCTCTAGGGATGGGGAAGCAACCACACCAAGAAATGAAACCAGGAGAAACTGAGGAGACGGCTTGGTTGGTAAAGTGCTGGTTTTGTAAGCTGAAGGACCTGTGTGCAATTTCCAGAACTTACATTAAAAAAAAATAAATGAATAAAAACCAGGTATGGTAGTTCATTCTTGTATCCCAGAGCTGGCTTGCTGGTCAGCTGGCCTAGTCTGTTTGGTGAGTTGCAGGCTAGTGACAGACCCAGTCTCAATAAACCTTGACCATCAGTATACACTCCTGATCTCAGCTGAGGGCCCATAGTGAGAAGCATGCCAGGAGACAGGCTAAATGGAACTCAATCTAGTGTTCTCCTTTAGCTGTGGGAATTAATTTTCCACATTGACAAGTCTCTATTGATCCTTCATGCCTCACATGTAATCCTACATTCTAAATACAAAGGCAAAATGAAGCTGCCCAACGACCCTGTCTCAAAGCTGCCAAGCAAGGACTTGTCTGAAAGCAGGTGACAGGAAGTCAGGCCTATTGGGTGGTACTCCAGAGATATCTCAGGGACAAGCAGGAATGAAATTACAGTGACATCAATCTAGCCCCGGCCTTCGAAGGAGACTGGTTTGGCATACTCCTGAGCATATGATAATAACATGGTATAAGCTAACTGAAAGCGAGCTTGGGGCAGCCATAATGTTCCTGGAATGCTCCCAGACAGGTTCCTGGCCCCATCCTTTCCTCTAGGTGGTGATAGTTTCAAGCTTTCATAATATATAGGGTTCCTGTTTCTACCTAAATCTGTCTCCTCTCTTCCTTCATCTACCAGTCAGCAGCTGAGCTCAACAGCAGCTGGGCACTGTGCTATGTTGGGAACATAAAAACAAGTCCTCATCCCTACCCTGAGAGACTCAACGTTCCTAAGACTCATATAACAAGATAGTATGAGGACAGGGGCTCAGGGAACAGAGCGGGCCTGCTGGCTTTCCAATTCACAATCTCTCTCCTCTCTCCTGCCCTCCCCCCTCTCTTTCTCTCCCTACCCCCATATGTGTGTGTTCTGCATTACTGGGCAAGATCAGCAAATAGTATGAGGGAAGGAAGGGTACCAAGAGATGATTTTCCAGGGCTCACATGAAGCAACTTGCTAAGCAGGTTATGCTCCTCTGAGCTCCACTTTCTCAAAAGAATCTTCTGCTCTGATTGCCTTGTGAGAGGTTGTGTAGGGCCAGATGCAATGGTGTGCACAAAACCTTGCTTGGCTGTATCCAGCACACGTGCCTTGCTAGTATAAGGCATTACTACCTGGAATTATTTATTAAACAATACTACCAAGTTGAGCTACTATTTCTCTACAGCAGTTGCTAAAAGCAGGGTCATAGATGTAACCTCAAAAGGCCAAGGTCTGAAATGTCTAAAGAAAAGGCATAGACATCTAGAGAAGCAGTTCTCTCTATGAGTAGGAATAAACAGAACTTGTGTGTGTGTGTGTGTGTGTGTGTGTGTGTGTGTGTGTGTGTGTGCATGAATGCATCTCATAGCTTTTTGCTCAACATTAAGGTTGTAGGCTCAGAAAATGATTCTGTTTCACAGTCTGGGACTGTGTTGAAGAGACAATGTATAAGAGCACACAGGAACATCTTCCTTGTTAAATATTAATACTGAAAAAAACCTCTTCCTTTCTGAATTTCCTTTTTCTCCTTTGTCTCCAACAGCTCACAGAGCCCACAGTTGTGTGCTTATGCCTCGTCACACAGCCACACTCCTGGTACGAGGCTTTCTGCTTCAGATCTCTCCCATTCTCCTGAAACCTTTCCTCATCGTGACTGTGGAGCCCAGATGATGGCCAGTGCAGAGGCAATGCCCAGTCTTTACAGCAAATGACACATTCACGGATCTTGTTGGGAATCTCTGTCTCCTCTCTGGTCCCTTGAGGCAGGGCTCACAGCCAAGCCTCTGTTACCTCGAGGTCCTCTCTGATGGTGTTCCTTCAGCTCTTGTCACTCAGCACACACTCTTGGGGACACCCACAGTTCACTCACATCTGAGTCATTCATGGTCTGCCATGTCTAGGACTCTAGCTTTCTGGCTACCAACTTGCCATTTCCACCTTGGTGTCCCACAAGTGCCACAGCAAACTTTTCTCCCCAGACCCCCAATAAGTCCTATGGTTCTGTCCCCAAATGCCATTTCATCTGACCCAAACGTTCTAACAAACTTTGGGTCCCCTCTCCAGGAGCTCTCCATCTCCACCTTCTTTGTCTGTGTTGGGGGAGGGCTCATCACAAGCCTCCAGCAGTATCTGACCTCTACCAAGGTATGTAGGGAAGTTCTCTCTCTGCCCTCAAGGATGACAGCAGTCACCCTGTGTTGTGAACTCAGCAGCTACCATATCTTTCTGTCCTAGCATACATCCCAAGATAATCAGGGCCAGGAAACACATACCACTCACGGTTATCCTGCAAGGATGGGCAAAGTGTATCCAAACATCTGCTTAGCAAGCATTCAGTAACTGAATGGAAGGGCTTGGACCATGCAGCCAGCAGCTTCCACTGATTATGAACTAGCTACGGGCGGGGTCCCAGCTATCTCCTTAGAAATGTGGGTTCTATGTGAGGTAAGAATGCCAGAGGCAAGCAGGGACATGGTGATGACATTTCCAACAGTGTCATCAGCCAGAGTGGTGAGGATGCCTTAGCTGAGTTGCTGGGCCACCAGCAGTAGCAGGTGGCTAACAGTTCCCTTCCTACAACAGCAGGATTGTTTTCTGGGGATCAAAGGAGAGCATCAGGGGCTCAGTCCTCAGAATGGTCTCCTGGAGGCACAGCCCAGCATTCAGGATATCAGCATACTCCGGGTTAGCTTAATGTGGTCATCTGACAGGCATGGCTTTCCTTTCTCCAGGAAGACAAAGTGAATGAACTTGCTTTCTTCTTGTGCATTTGCAGTCATTATACATTTGACTTCTCTTTATCTTTCCCATTTCAGGAGACCATGGAGGAAGTATTTTTGTATAGTCCATGTAATTGTAGGTATAATTCTAAGACACAGAATAGCACCGACTTAACTGATGCCAAATCAAAAGAACATGACCCCCTTCACTCACACACACACACACACACACACACACACACACACACACACACACACGAGATACATGGCTGTCAGCTCAAGGGTGAAGGCAAGAGGGAGCTGTGTTTCCTCATTCACAGAAACTATCAATGAATTCCTAAAGGATGTTGCAGAAATGAGAGGGAACAGGCTTACAATATAATCTCATTCAAAACACTTTGTGTAGTTTCCAATGGACAATGAGTAAATTGGCTTTTTGAATGTTCTCCCAAAGAGAACAGTTTCTTAGATTAAAAATAGCCATAATCTCTCTGTTAGACAACTGCTTGGCAAAGGAGTTGGCATAAAACTAAGAACACCCAAACCTCAGGTTTTGTGGAGAGCTTGCATGTAATGGGTAATTTCCTTTGTTTATGAGCATGCCTTCATCAGGCAGGGGTGTCCATGTGAGTAGTTCCTACATACTGTCCATGAAGAGATTTAAAAAAAAAATTTCCTGATGCATTTTTGTATGTCTGTTCTCTAAATATAAATGATATGCTTCATAGTACATAGTAAATGCAACTTAACATGGTATCCATAAAAGTAACCACATATATATCTTTGTAAATAACTAAAAAATTCCCACTCCATTAAAATGCTTGCTTTAGGAACTTGCTGGAGCCCTGCCTTGCTTTGTACTCCTTCCCTTCTCCAAGGTTCCCTGGGTTTACTAAGAGATTTGCATTCACAATCTATAGTTTGTGTTGACAACTAGTGGTATGCCAGGCATCTGGAAACTGTTCCACACCAGACTAAGGGTAGCATCATAAACAAGAAGCTTGTGCTAGTCTGCAGGTGTGTTTTATTTCCATGAGAAAAATCAGCACAGAAAGGAACTTAGAATCCTGATTCACTCATCACTCCAGTCTGGTGTCAGGATTCACAGTTGCAGCTTGTTTTCAGTGTTACACGTTTTTGTGGTGGTTCCTGTTTGAGTCATGGATATGTAACCAGTTGTTAACTCCAAGTACGAAGTCAACTCTATCTGTGCCAGTACTTTCAACCACCTCCTCCTGGAACCTGTTTGCCACTCCTGGCTGGTTTCCTCTAAACCAAATGCCCAGGATAGACAACAGGAATAGGTGCATTAGCATTTCCTGTGCTACTCTGCCAGTGCCAGCCTTTACTGTGTATAGGACACCTCCCCGGTCTCTATGGTGGCCTACAACGCAGAGGTGAGCAGCACACGGAGAGAGCATTGGTTTCACTTCACCCAAGGCAAGACATGGTAGGTCATTGGACCCAGAGTAATTAGTTCATCGCAACATCAGGACCCAAGGAAGCATGAATAATCAGGAAGTCATGTGGTACTCTAAGGTCTAATAAGTGACAATAAACTAAGTTTCTTTAGTCTATGCTCTCAGGAAGAACATAGCAATGTCTCCTGGGCCAATTGCTCACTTACCCTTTCCAAAGACTTCAGGAGATTTTGTCTTTCTTTGAGCTTCTGAATACTGATTACAATTTTGTGTCTTGCACCTTTGGTAACATTCTGTAATTAAATGCAAAAATAAATAAATAAATAGAACATCTCATTTTCAAGAATAAGCTTAGAGACTCTCAGAGGCTATGTATCATTTTGTCTTTTGCTAGTACATGTTCATAGGCTTCTCGAGATGCATTTCTCTCTTGTTGATGCAGCTGTCTTAAATGTCTCCTCAATAAATATACTAACTCCATCTGGCTACAAGCTTGCCCACAACCTTTAGGACAGAGTTATAGAATAGCAAATTATTCCACCCAACATGAGATTTCTTCACCATCTTAAATGTGTGTGTGTGTGTGTGTGTGTGTGTGTGTGTGTGTGTGTGTGTGTGTATGTATATGTTCAGACACTCCTGTCCTCAGGCTGCATTACTTCAGACCCTCTTGGTTTCCCTGGAGACTCCATCCTTATTTATTCTTTGCTTCCTCAGTGCCTTCCTGCACCTGCACATCTGCAGAAGCCATGAAGCCCAGTGCCACCCACATGTGCACAGGGGATTCCTGTGAAATTTACAATCTTCCTTTTTCTTTCCATTATGAAAAGTGGAATTCACTTTGCTCCAGGTAAATGTGCAGAGTTGTGGATTTCATTTTAAACTGGCCACAGCAGTAAGTGAGATGGGTTCATTATTGCCTTGTTGATAGATACTGCACATTTCCCAGGAAAGGGGCCTTTTTCTAACCAGGTCTCTAAGGCAACTTTCAGGGGATCTCTGTCCTGGTGCAACCACTCTATAATTCCTCCTAGCCAGTGAAGGGACAAGAGTGACAGTGGCAACCCCTCTGGAAGCACTGGGGACATATTTCTGCCTAGCTGCAATTTTCAGATCAAATGAATGCAATTATTTTGAAAAGTTTGTGTCAGGCTCTTGCACTGCCCCTCTATATCAATCCTTTCTTTCTTTCTTTTTAGTTGAACAACTGATGACTTGGATTCTCTTTCAACTTTGACCTAAACACAAATTGCTCTTTGAAACAATTCCCAGCAACCCATGGGATCCAAGAAGTGGTGGGAGAAATGTTAGGAAGTTGAAATTAGTGCTTTTCACTCTCTGAGAATGGCCAGTGACTCCAGGCTTTGTCTCACTCTCAATACTGGGCCTTCAGAGGGGGAACCGTGGGTACTGAATAAGCAACAGGAAAGCCGAGGTCGGCAGGGAGGCATGCGACCAGCCAGACGGCGCCCCACGTGCTACAATCTCTCCTTCCTGCAGGAGAAATATTAACTCGTTCAGACCACCAATTTCTTCAAATCATTGCTCAAAGGAAACTGGGGTCAAGTTGAAGCATGCAAACAGCATTTTAAACATGGGGAACAAAGGCATCCATTAGATTGTTGGCTAGAGCCTGGCATGGCAGAGACATTCTTAATTTCAGGGACACTGTTGCCTGGTCTTTGGCATTCACACTTGGGGGAAAAGGCCTAAGAAGGAAAGAGGAATTCTGCCCTTTTAAGACTTCAAAAGGAAAATAAATTCAGAGACCTGGATATCTCACTCTCAATCATTGTCCCATGCTATTTGAGGTGATTAGAAGAAAATATTTTAAATAATTTACTCCAATCTCAACTAAGGCCAGCCTGAGTTATTTTGGAAAAGCATGGTAGAGTGTCTGGTGCTTCTACTGACCCGTTCAATTAGAAGTTTGTGGATATGTATGTGACAAGATGGGATAAACCAACAAGGAATCTGTCCCTACCCAAACTAGTCTTGGCTTGGTATAGGGACGGAAAGAGCCAGGGGCCAAAGCTGTTAGGAACATTGATGCGATGTCACTTCTAGACAGTGCCACAGTTTCTTTCTTAGCACCCAGAACTTTTTTTTAGATTTGGTTTTTTATGTATATGAACACTCTATCTGCATGTACAACTAGAGATGGTTGTGAGCCACCATTGCTGGGAATGGAACCCAGGACCTCTGGAAGAGCAGCCAGTGCTTTTAACCATTGAGCCATCTCTTCTGCTCCACACCTTGAACTTTTAAGGTATATTTGGATCTGTTTTTCCCTAAAGTTCTCTCCCTTTCATTGCTCTGTGAGTGCCTGATGACTTTGGTCCCTCCACTTAACTGTCAAGGCAAGAACCTAGGCTTACTCACCAAGGGGAACCAGCGAGCACAGACAGCTCCCAAACCCAGGCGAGGTATTGGGTGGGAAGGTGAGGTATGGGTCCAAACAATGTCTGCGTGGGTGGAACTTTAAGACCCTGTCTCAGGGAAGGGTCCCCTCAAGCACTCACATACCTGAGCCTCCAGCTGACACTCGGTGAGGGCCATCATCTCCTCATAAGTCATCTGCGAGAACAGAGCAGCGTATTTGTGCAGGCGGAGGCTTTTTAACCAAGCTGGAACATCTGTGGTGCAAGATGTGAAAGAGATAGGGAGAGAAATGAAAGGAACAGGAGAGGTGACAAAAGATGATGAGCAGACACAAAGGGGCAAAGGGTGATGGTCAGAGGAAAAAAGAAAAAGAAAAAAAATGTTATTTAATATGGGCAGCAGATGATGCATCAGAAAGCTTAGGGCTGATCCTTACAACCGCACTGGGTCCTTTATTCTGCCTCAGACCAGGCTTGCTAACTTGGGGCTTAAGCATTTCAGGGAAAAGAGGAACTCCATATATAGAGGGGCAGTTTTTTAGGTAGGGTCTTCCATAGTGCCTTTAAAGTCATCAAAGGAGCTCATTATGATAAAAAAGAAATGCAAAGGCCACCACTGCCGTAGCTGGGCCATCTTACTGTTGTTTTGGGAAGAACTGACACAGAATACTGAAAGCAGATACAATAGCCTATGCCCTCAAAGATACTATTTTTGAGGCTCAATGTGGATCTCCATAAGCTATGTCAACCACCTCTAGAAGCAGGAAACATGTGGTAGTTGTACCCCATAAATGCCCTGCCTGATGATTCCTCTGCCTCCCCAGCTCTCTGTGGGGATAAAGAGCACCCGGGAACACAGTATTGCTACTGCTGTGGGATAGCTGATAGTCACTTTTCAAAGCTTTGGGGTGCATTTGAATGTGTCTTTGACTCCTTCTTTGCATGCCAAACCAAGAGATATCACAGCACCAGGGACTCAAATGCGGCCTAGACATTCTAAGACACAACTGAAGCCAAGCCCAAATTCGGTGTGGTAGAGTTAAGAAAATTGCTGGAGTAAGAAACTACCGGTTGAGTCATTGCTTTGCTAATTATAACCAAAATCAACCATTTGCCAAAAGTCTCTTAAGTCAGAATGTTTGAGCTGAGAAAATCTTCTAAATGTTTTTGGAATCATCTTTTCCTATCTCTATACACTGGTGGCATGGATGGCAGCATTAGATCACAGAGTAAGAATGGGTCAAAAGGGGACTAGAACCCAGTCTTCTGAATTTCAGCTCTTCCCTACATTGTACCAAATCCTCACAAGGACTGCAGCATTCACTAGCACAGAGCTAAATAGAGATTGCAAACATTTTGAGATTCTAAGGCACTGGGAAGTGTCGTTCACACTTTCTGTGAGGTACCATCATGTCATTAGTCATGTTGGTCAAAGGATTCTGTACTATTGCTTACAAAGTGTTCCATTATGAGGCCCTGATGAGCCAGCCCCATGCATTTAGGGACAGGTGGGAATTTCCAGTTTTTCAAGGTTTAGAGTAGATAACTAGGGCTGATGGAAGACAGTCAACTCTGACATCAGGCTTTGCCTCCTAGGAAAACCAAAGCAAGGCTCAGGGAGTGTGGACGGATGTGATCTCCTTAAGACACCTGCTTGCTGAGGGTACTTTGTACTCTGTAGTAGTGTGAGAACCACACATGGGGGATTTCCGAGACAGAAATGAAAATCCAATTCAGAACAGACTTCGTTGTTTCAGACTACTTGATTCTGTGCTTGGAAAGCCTTCGGTCTACTGGGACCATCATTAATTATGCTTAGACAAGGCTTCTCCAGGTGCAGAGTGCCAATTCCTAACACATTCCTCAGTGCACACCACTCCTGGGTAATGATTTCAGGACACACAAGCCAGGAGTCTTGTACTTTTCCTGCTATGATATCCCAGAGCTCTTTCACCAGAGTTCATTCTCCACCACATACTTGCTTTTATTGAAACAATAACACTTCTGCAGACAAGACCAACCATGGACTGACATGAGTAGCCATGTTAACTACATCTCTACGTTCTGACAGGCTACATGCCATCACTTGGTCACCAGGCCTTGTGTTTGCCATTCATATCTTTGAAAAGTCCCAAATAATGGTTCAGAAAATACAACAGTCATGATTCAGAGAAGTCTGGGTAATCCAGTGTTACACTTGGACACAATTCACCACAAAAGAGGATGGAGCAATTCCATGGACCATTTTTTTTTAAACCAAGTGTCTTGATGAACAAAACCCTCAGCTTTAAAGTTGCAAACTAGGTGTTTTGTGAGCCAAAGTGACAATTGGGTATCTTGAGTCAGGAAGCATGAGGAGCAACTCTTGGTTCACTAAGGCCTAGTATCAACAGCTAGAATTGCCTGGGATAGGCAGGGCTGGCCAAACTTGCCTCACTCATTTCTTCAATATAGTTTTCCTGGAACAGGTTCCTATACAACTTCACAACAGGATGAATGAGTTCTTCCTGATGAGTTATTTCCAGGCATATTCCTGGGAAATGTAGGCTCCTTTGACCTTACATTTCTTAAGGCAGGCAGCCTGCTTGTATAGCACCTAGCTCTGTGCCATGTGCCTAAGTTTTTTGTCCTTTCTGCAGTGAGGATGGGCAAACAAAGAGGAGGAAATCTCTATCCTGAATAACACAACAAAGCTATACAGTAAGAGCCTGACTCAACAACAATGAATCCCAAAAGAACAACAGAAAAGAACATAGCCTACCAATCGTTCTCTCTCTGGTTGGTGGGTAGCAAATTTCCCTTGCCAGAGATGGAAGCAGAACTCCACTGAAAGGGAACTGAGAGTTTCTTTCCCACAAGCAAGAATTCCAATGACTGGGTTACTCAGTTCTCTAAGAAATTAGCTGGGCATGAGCTCCAACCAAAGCCTAGATGTAATATGTTGAGAACCGTTTTAACTTCTTAGCTTGGATCCCATTTCTATGTGGGAAGCTGTGGCTATGGCTGGAAGATTCAGGTACATAGAGAACAGAGGGTGTTTTGCAGAGAAGTGAAATGTAAATTTGGCATACATGTCTTCAAGGTACAGCTATTTATCTCCATCTAGGTTGCTTCTATTGGACATAGCAATGCAGGTCCCAAGCCAGAAGGACATCTTCTCATGCAGTATAAGAAAGAGAAAGATATTTCTCTTCTGTTACATGTGAGGCAGATCTCCCTGCCAACTGATGGAATACTGTTTGTTAAACATTTACTAGGTATCATTAGTAGAAGTCAGACCCTGTAAAGACTTGCCATTGTCATCAAGGAACTTGTGATCCAGAGAGCATGACTGAGTCCCACTCAAAAATTATAAGTTTCAGTAAAGTGCTAAGAATACCCAAATCCTGGGATGGCACAGAACAAGGAACACTTGGGTTTGCCAAGGCCATGAGAGGAAGCTCCTTGCACCCCACTGTTTGGGGGAGCATCAGCTTGGAGTCCATTGGGCAAATCACCTTGTAGAGGCCATTTCACATGGTAGGAACATCAGAAGCAAAAGCCAGAGCCACAGAGTGTTTAGGGAAGAGAAAATGCTTGGTGAATAGTGGAAGCAGCTAGACACAGAGTGTGACACACAAACAGGGGAGTCAGGCACTTGAGATATGAAATGTCAAAATAAGGAAAGTAGATTTTTGTCTTGTGGATGACGACAAGCCATTGAAACGTGCACATTTGGAAACACAGGGCTGCATCAGAAAGATGATGCTGGTCATGGGAAGGCAGATGCGGGGTGGTGAGGAAAGGCCAGGACATGAGTGTGAGAAGCCCCAGAGGAGTACTTGAGAAGGGTGGGAGGGGAACAAAAGGGTGGAAACGGATGGTACTTGGATGTCAGGAAGAATAGGGAAGGGGGCAAACAAATGAGCTGAAGATGGCTCCTTTGGTTCAAGTTTGGTGAGAGGGAAAACAGGTGGAAAAGCTGGCACACCAAGACTTCGGGAGAAGGCTGAGCTGGAGAACAGCTTGCTTTGTCAATATACATGCTTGCTGGTTCTGCCATGGAAGTCGGTGCAGGCACACAGACAAGGCACACTGAGTGAGATTAAGATGGAGTCATGGTGAAGCTGTAGGGTGGCAGGCGTTGTGGGTATGGGGTCTCCATCCTTCCTGATGCTCGTTCCAGCTCCCGTTGTAGGCCACATTGGTTTATCTTCTCCAGGCTATTTTGGATAACAGCTAACACCCAACTTGCATATGTTCTGTGTACACCCACAGGTCTTTAGCTATGGGATCAAATTTTATGCGGTGCTCATTTCTATATATCCTTTTAGGATTTGGATACCATGACCACAGAGAAGCTTTGAGTCACGTCCTCAGCTCACATAGAAGCTGGGCGCCAGTGAGAACGTGGGCTGCTTTTCTCCTATGCCTGCTGCATATGTCAGCCAGGTCAACAAAGCACGCAGCATCCAACCTCAAATGAGGACAAGTTGATAAGGGAGCAACAGGAGGGGGAGAAATTAAGGTAGCTCTTTGTCTAGAAGTGAGAAACATGAACGAGCAGTTTCCCACAAGAGAGCTTATTTTGGTACTCTAGGTACCAGATGACAGAAATCAACTTATGCCTCACAGAGAGCCAGGCTGATCTCACATAGCCTTCTCTCTAAGACATGGGCTGCATCCTTGCTCTCTGAGGGAGAGAAGAAACACAAAGGAAGGCTATGAAGGAACTAACACTTCACTGTTGAAGTCAGAGAGAAATCGAATCCTTCAAGAACAAAGAGCAGCAGTTTAGTCTTACCAGAAAGCCTACCTTTATTTTTGACCAGAGTCAAATGAAGAGCCTAGTTCTGTTCCAGGCTGAGCAAAAGGAGGGTGCCTGTTGGGTCCTGAGGGAAACTCCTTGATGCTGAGGAGTATCTAGAGTGTTTCAGGAGGGCTCTCCTCTCATGGAGACATACCATGAGTCTTTGAACAAATGAATATGGGGTAAAATACTTCAAAGAATTAGATGCAAACAGTGAACTACATTCTTTCCAGATGCTCCTATTAACCACAACATTCCTTAGTGCTGTTCTTTAAATGGCCTGTTTTGTATTGTTAAAGGGAAGCCAAGGCTCTTAAAGCTCTCTAGCTGAAGACACTCAGCAAGGAATGGAGGTTAAAAGTCCTGAGACTTTTAGGTTCTAGTAGGAGTCCTGGAATTTGCTTGTCAAAGACATGAGAGTTCTCAGCTTATCAGCACAATTCCAAGCCCATGAAGACCCATTTGT